GAAGCGACTTAGCTAAGACGCGTCTTATTAAATAAGACATGCTCGTATAAATGGTACAGTTCGCGTCTTATTTAAGACGCGTCTTATTTTTCCTCGTATAAATGGCCCTATTATTGCAATCAAAATCACAATAGGAGGCAGCTTAGCCGGGTAGTTTGAGCGTCGGACTTGCAATCCGGAGGCCCCAAGTTCAAGTCCCGCCCTTACCGCTTGCTGGATTTGTTCTCGGCAGTCCTGATTTCAAATTCTCGGCCATGCTTGTAAATAGCCAGCTGGTTTGCCTCCGGCCAGTTGGGATTCTTAACCCTGTTAAGTTCAATTTGAATTATTTGTTTCAGGCATTTGCTTGGTCCCACTAGCATTAGTGCTATAGCAGTAGTACTACCAAGGGTAAATAATGGAATCATTATTATTATTATTAGCCTTTATTTGGGTGTGCATTCAAATGGTACCATCTAATCATTTACGGTTATAATAATTGACTCGAGCGACGCCCATATTGTTCTTCTTGCGTTTTCCAGCAGGAGTGATATAACCAATTTCAATGATTTTTGGTATCCTTAATAGAAAATGGTGGAACTTTAAGAAAATGTTATTTATTTTTTTGTAAGTATAAAAACGTTTGAGATATCGGCAGATATTTAAAAACGCATTTTTAAAAAAATGTAAATAACTTTGAAATCCTGCGACAGTTTTTTCCCTAACTTCAGCAAATTAACCTCAAAGCTCTCTTATAATTTTATATCTGCACGTTTGAAGTCAATGGTGACTACTTATAAAACCCAATGCACAAACTGCACACATTTGTGAAAGTTGATGCCCAAATAGCCACCAACTTCAGTACTTCTAACCATCCATTTTTCAGCTGCAATGAAAACACCTGTACTTGGTAATTTATTCAAGCTTTTTACATTTGCCCATCACATTTTTAGGGGAAGTTTGCTACTTGTGGTTAAAAATGAAGAAAATATGACAATAGTCCTATTCTTCTGATTATCCCTCAATGGAAAACTGCTCGTGAATGTGATGGCAAATCTTAGAAGTTTGAATAAATTACCAAGTACCAGAGTTTTCATTAGCTGAAAAATGGACGGCTATAAATACTGAAGTTGGGACTTTATTTCTCCTTAAAACGGGAACCTTCGGTGCTAAAAACTGGTAGGAGATGCTATATTTTGCTTTGTTTAGATTTTTTTTGAAAAAAAAAAGGAAGAATTCAAAATAACCTTGATAAATAGAAAATCTTTAATCTCACACCGCATTAAGCATAAAGTTGTTCTTCTTGTAGTGCTAACTGTATTCGCCGTACAGGCTGATTACTTAGTTTCTTGCAATAAAGCTTTGGGTAAGAATACCCTCTCAGAAAGGAGATAGTCCGTCGGCTCTCCTCCTCTATTTGTGCATTAACTTTCACAAATCTGTTAGCGTAGCATTTTAATCGAATTTTAAGGTTAAATCTGACCAGCATTTTGTGCACGACTGACTTCAAACTTGCAGATATAAAACTAAGAGAGCTCCGAGGCTTTTTTGCTGAAGTTAATGGAAAATCTGTCGTAGGATTTCGAAGTCATTTACATTTTTTTGTAAAAATAATAAATTGCATGATATGTGTGGAGAGAAGAATGCACAAAAAAAATTCTGAGTTCCAGGTGGGAATTGAACCCACGACCTTCCGTACACTAGTCGGATGCTCTAACCACTGAGCTACTAAGACCTCAGTGATGAGCAGGTCAATTGTGGGTTGACATAACTCCCGCATAGCGCGTTCACTTTCTGTAAAAATGCACTTTTAAATATATGCCGATATCTTAAACTTTCTTATACCTACAACAAAACAATCACATTTTCTGAAAGTTCCACCGTTCTTTAAATGATATTAGGGATGTTAAAAGTCATAGAACTCGGTTAAATAGTTCCTGCTGAAAAACGCAACTCAAAAACTTAACCGCCAACACGTTTATAAATAGGTTCAGGCCACTTACCACGTAACTGCAAAAGAATGAAGTGGGGGACCCCAGGTAGGTGAGGTAACCCGCTTAGGTGGGGTAACCCGCCGGTCCATATAATCTCTCATTTTAATTTGATCATGTGTATATGATAGGCGGGGTGACCCGCCAAATTTTACCGTCTGGGGTCCCAAACCTCCATGTAAAAAAGCCCTTAGTCTTAAATAGTTTTCATCATGGTTGGTTGGTTCACTCATCCTTTTTAATTTGGACTTCTTGATATACAGATTCATGATACAAACACATGGGTTTCCAAAGTCAGCCGTATTCGGCATATTACAATAGCCCATGTTCGATATATTTTTAAAAATTCGAACATGACTCCGAGGCTTTAGAGACAAATCGCAAATTTTTCAGGAGTTCATTGCCTCGCAATTCCCAGGAGATATCAAAGCACAAAGAAAACCAAACCAAATATAGAACTAATGAAAAACCAGTCTTCTTCAAATAGTCTCATTCAAAGCCGGCTGGGAGACTAAGCTAGAATAATTTTTAAGCTACAAAGAAAAAAAAAATTGTAAATTGCTTGTTTACCCACGAAGCACCTAGAAGTTCATATGAACTCGTTTAAACGTGTCCGTGCGTTCCAGATCGAATTGGAATTTGGAAGTGTTGGTTTTTGAAGAGAGGGGAAAACCGGAGTACCCGGAGAAAAATCTCTCGGGGCAAAGAAGAGAACCAACAACAAACTGAACCCACATATGGTGTCGACGCCGGGAGTTGAACCCGGAATACATTGGTGGGAGGCGAGCGCTCTCACCACTGCGCAATCCCTTGCTCCCTTACTTGCTACTTTAGGGACGGTCCGGGGGGCGGGCGAGGTACAAAAAAATACTTGTGCAAGGCACAATCGTATAAAACAAGTTGTGAGAACATAGTTTCTTAGTCCAGACCTCGTTTCTTCCCTCCCCCGGGTGTTCGTTTTTTATTTCGTAGACGAGCGAATATGTCTGCCACAGGCAGCTCAGTAATGACCAGAAGGCCTCGGAGTCATGTTCGAAAATTGAAGGTGGGTTATTAATTTGTTAACTTGCATACTACATCATGAGAGAATGAACTACATTTATAGGGACAAGTTCACGGTTCAGCGCATGCTCATTAATCAAAATGCTGTTTTTCTGCCGGGACATGCTGTATCATCTACGCAAGTAATATCATCATGTCATAATGTTGTCAAAGAACCAATCTGCACCCTCTCCTGGCAGTCACTTGATCAACTTAGGTGCAAATAGCTGTAAAATAAATAGACCATGGAATAAAACCTTCGGATCAACAATAAATTTAACTTTGCTAGTCTTGGCATAATCCACTGATTTTTTCTGCTATTTTAGTACTCTTCCATCCTTCTTCAGGTTACTCTGAAATACAGTTATAATTTGAAATACACTCTGAGATCGCTGAGATACATTTGAGTGGGATTATTAACCGACAGAATTATTAATAAATTGAAAAAAAGTAATTTAATTAATGAGCATGCGCAGAACGGTGAACCTGTACTTTATACATAGTTAGTAGAGGCGACTGGTTAATGAAAGGCGGCACGCAATAAATACAAAAACAACGGTGCTGTAGTTTTTGTCGGAGGCTCCCTGACCGTGCACAATCCTTTGTTTTCTGTTGGCAAATTGTGATGGAATAAACTAACGGGACGTTTTCATTGGTCCGATATGATCAAAATGTTAGGAATGCTTTTGAACTTTGTGCACGTGTACCGTCAGGTGTACAAAAACATGTAACAAATAAGAGTCTGGCGGGTTTCATAACCATTTCACTCTTTAATTATTTATATTACTTTTCGAGATGGTTTTCTTTATGTTTCCTTATAACGTTATGGAAGGTTGAAGAACTGAAGTTGACAGAAATATCATCAAAATTTTAATTAAGGTCTTCTATGTCAGCGTAAAAAGCTGCCGAACAGTTGTTAGCGGCGAACGAACTCACACAAAGTTATTAATAAACTAACATACCGTTGGTCAAATTAATTGTAGCTGACGAACACAGTGGCCGCACTTTGGATTGTCAAACAGTTATATTTCCTGCAATTGCATTTTGATATCTCGTGTGCAGACGTCATCAGTATGCAGACATGCCCAAAACATTTGTACCACACTTGCGGTTTCGTCCGGTAGTTGTCACCTCATATGTCAGTAGTTCAGTTCTTCTAATTGCAACTGGCACAACCTAGCTATACTGAGCCCTAAAAAGCCAATCCAACTTTATGAGCTCTGATTTACGCATGTAAGCTCATGTAAGTTCAAGGACACTTGACTAAGCTAAGTTAACCTGTCAAAGGCAAGTGCTCAGTGTTTGTCAATCAGTCTTTTTCAAATTCGTCTTGTCAGTTTTGCAGAAGTTTAAAAGCACGGTAAGCTTATTTGCATACTCCATTATATTGTCAAAGTTCGTTTTCTTAAAATTAACAATTCAAAAGCTTCGATGAAAGAGCCTAGTAATTCAACGGTATTGAGTTCTTGCTTTGTTATCCTCCTTGACACTGTATAAGCAAAACAATGATCATTAACGTTAAAATTAAATCATACAACACCTGGTACAACTCTGCGAGAAATATTGGTAACGAGTCAGTATACTGTTCTGTTGAAGCCATACTACCAGCTATACATACTATTAAGCTAAAACAAGTTCAGTATTGGTTCGTTATTTCAGTCGCTCCTTTCAATGTAAATATAAACAAATAAAACTGAGTTGCTTTTGTTAGATTAATTTTAACTTAAAATCTGTTTTTTTATTCATCATCTTTTTCTTTCAGATAAGCATGACGCCAAGATAAGTCAAAGCGAAAAACAGCTGTCCAAACCCTCCAACAATGGCGCCCTGTTGAAGTTAGTGTTGAATTAGCCGATGTGTACGAGTCAAGAATACTTCATTGATCCACTACAAACTGCTAATATAAGAAGTCGAAAACTGTGGTAAATTTTCTTCAAACCTCAGTACATTCCCATTTGGAACTTGATTTCCCTTCACCTCAATATCAACATGGCTCTCAACTTCGAACACACAAGACAACTTTGCAGATTTATAATTCTTCTGTCTACGTTAATACTCTATATGTGCATTTGTGCTGCAATTTACAGCTTGCTGGAGAAAGAAAACGATCGAACACAGTATAATCTCTATCAGGGGTTAAAGAAAAGCTACAAGCGAAAGTATAATTTGAGTGAAGATGAATTCATAAAGTTTGTCAAGGATGCGAGCATAATGTACAAGAGAGGGTATATGGGCGAGTACAGGGACTACTGGAATTTTTACCATTCGTTCTGGTTTACAATCACGGTAGTCACTACGATAGGTAGGCCTCGGTTTCACATATTATCCAGTTATATACTGATTATCGTACTTGTAGTTGGGTACATTTGAAAACGGATCGACCCAGAATGTGAGGTAGATGTGCATTCATGCTGAATTGATTTTTTAATTTGGAGAAGGGGGAGATTTGTTTCCTTTTTTGGAAACTTTGCATTTTGCTAGTACCTTTAAATTTTCAGTTTTGCAGAAATGTCGGAAATAATTAAAAAATAGGGCAAATTTCGTGGCAATGAATAACTACCGTACGACAAATTTAATTTTTTGCAAATTGCCAAACAAAATTGTAGCGTTTAAGCGCGTAAGGTTAACAACGAAAAAGACGATGTTCTTGGGATTTCCGCGTTTCTTCGGCTCAAATAATTGCTCTTTTCTGCTTGTTACAAATGCTTTTCATTCTCAGTGTTCTCTTCAATATCGGATCATTTTTTCTTTCAAGTGTAAAATAAAAACACAGACTAATGTGACATGATTGGTTCTCTTCGCTTTGAAAATATTCACCAATTTATCGGTGACATCTGTCTCCAAGATAAGTAAACGTAACATTTTCCCTATATCTTCGGTTTACTTTTGACATTAAAAATTCTAGTGTGTAACAGTCGTCTTCCGTTTGAAGACGCGCTGGACTCATCATAGAAAAAGACCGAGATATTTCGAAGGCCGATATATCTGTATATCATCATTTCGGGAAGAACAAAGAGGTTTTGGTTTTATGCTTTAAATGCAAAGTGACTCGCAATTGTCTCTGTTGTCTCGCAATAAAAAAAATTTTGTCGATAAGCTTCTTGTGCAATACGTCCAATACGGCGGCCATACATAAACTATTTAGCACCTTTAAGATAAAAGAATGATTTAATATTTTAATACCAAAAATGGAAAATGATTATGATGAATGGTCATTTTGCTCCGTCATACATCTTTTAAATATGACAGGTTAAAGAGAGAGATAAGGTTGCTTTAGAAACCAGCCCGATATGAAGATCATAACGACTCAGTTATTAAAGGCCCATAATCAGCCTAGATGCATTGCGCGCCCTGTACTCCAGAAAAAAAAAACACATTTCGCGTAGTTGAAAATCACTGCCTTCAGTGTGTAGAGTCAATCTTTGTTAATCTTCCACAGTTCGCTAAATCTGGTTTAAAAGAAAGTCTAAACAGGTTCTTTTGGTATTTTCTTTACATCTTTTTAGATATTTTGGTCCGGTATCGAACCTTTTTGTTTTTGCGAGTCCCGGGGGGGGGGGGCACTTGGGTATTTTTTGGGTGGGTACGTGCCGCCCGGGACTCCAAATTGGCACCCCGTTTTAAAAAAAATTTCCCCTAAAACTGATACCCCGTTCTAGAAATGGGCCAATTTTTTATACCCCGTTCTAGAATTCGCCCTAAAACTGATACCCCGTTCTAGAAATGGGCCAATTTTTTATACTCTGTTTTAGGATGCAACAAGAGTACAACAGTTTACTTGTTAACTCATTGAACCGTATTTTTAAAAGCAATCTGTCCTTGAATAATTATAATTTTAAATGGCTGCTTACAAAACCGGAGCTTTCGTGCGTTCGAAATATTATACCCCGTTCTAGAAAACGCCTCTGAAATGGATACCCCGTTCTACGACCCCGTTGGGCGGCACATAACCGTATAGGTAATGTATGGGAGTACCCCCCCGGGCTGTGAGTGTTTGTTTCACCGTCGACGGGGGTCGCCGAACTACATTCGTCTCCGTGAATCCGTTTCTTTAATCTCTGGAGAGATGGGAAAGAAGCTCTTGGCTGCAAATTCTACAGTCAGCGTGTTGCCGAGTTCCTTCTACATCGAATGTTCACTTGTAAACAAAGGTCCCGTTGAAATCAGTTGAAAGCAAAACAAGCGAGTCAATCTAAATTGAACAATGCTTTATTTAATTTAACCTATGAAGCGAGTGATATCCTTAACGTAAACTTATCGTCTGGCGTTTCGCTCCAAAGTAGCGAGAACTATTATTAGCAAACCTATCCTTAGCGGCGTTGCTAAAACGAGGGTAAGGGTAACACCAAGGGTAAGGGTGAGGGTAAGGGCGGAGATGAGGGTGGGGGTGAGGGTAAGGGTAAGGGTGACTGTTAAGAAGGCATATTGTCATTACTGTAACTCCCTGTCATAAAGCATCATCTGGCATATTGTTGGAAAGCGGTGCTCTTTAAAATGAAAGGCTGGTACAGGGCTGTTCTAATTTCAAGGTTTGGCTAGCTTTTGCGTTTCTGTTGCAGTTAAGTATTCCCAACAACGTGACCGCAAATTAATTTTTTGCTCTTGAAAGGCTTGAATAAAGGCATGGATTAATAGTCTTTGATCGTTCTCTGTACACTAAGGGACTGTTTATATGGGGATGTGGGACCCTGGGTTGGCGAGGTGATCCGCAAAAGGGTTAAAAAGCAAACCACCTTTTCATGCAATCTTAGAACGTCCACAATCCCTCATGTTACAAAAAATATGCCGACAATCTTTCAGATATGTTACATTTGGAGACGAGCAAACTGTACATCTAACACTTTCCCTTAAAAAAAGCAAATGTATGGTCTTCAAACCGCGCCAAGTCCAAGTCCAATTGTAAAATTCAAGGAAATATAAAGTATGAAGAAAACAATTTTTTTTTTTTTGGGGGGGGGGGAGAAATTTTGGATGAAAATCTAAATTGGAATTCCCACAACAATTCTCACCCTTACCCTTACCCTCATCCCCGCCCTTACCCCTTACCCTTACCCTCACCCCCACCCTCACTCCCACAATTACCCTTGGTGTTACCCTTACCCTCGTTTTAGCAACGCCGTATCCTTAGCAAAACCTAAAGAGAGTGTAACACAGCGATTACAGCGACAAGACTGTACCGTGTACGCAGTGCTTCTTTCGAGAACACATACCTAATCTTCCCGCTAAGAATTAACACAAAATAATAGATTCAGGAATCAAAACATTTCACAGTCGAATCGGGCTTCAGGAAAATCTCACCTGGTGCTTAGACGTTTCGTAATGTTATGACCTTCATTATGTTCATCGGACTTAACAAAGCATCCACACGCATTCACTACCAGTTTAAATTTTGAACTCCTTTCTCCGGTGACATTTAACGAAGTCAGCGATACATCTTCCTCGATTTGGAAAAGAATTAAAGTCTTACTGGCTTCTTTAATACTGTCTCTTTAAGCTTCGGTCAAGCGTGAAAAAAGCTAGTCTCCCTCGAAGTCGTTTTTAGTATCGTCAAGCAACGCTCCTCAAAAGTGGAAGCCAATCAAAACACTGCATTTGACAAAAGAATCGTTCCAAAACAAAAACACAAGCGCGCGAAGCCGTTTCGGTGGACATGGGCCTTTAAAACAGTTGTTTCGAATAAGGTTGTCAGGGTGCATGCGTCTTACATTTGGCGATAACTTGTTCTCGCTAAAACTAGTGATAGATTGACGACGACTAGGTTTTCCCGCCAAAATGACGCTGGTTCACGCGTCAGCAACACTCAGCGAAAAATTTCGTTCTCGTAGTCGTTCTCTTCTCCGTAGCCTGTTCCAAGCGTTCAGATAGTGGAGAGCGATGCGAAGTAAAGAAAGCGATGAAAAGTAGAGGGGGACTGGGGAGAGGTGCGGGAACGCTTTTAGAATACTTAACAAAAGTGCGGTATACCAGATCCTGGTATACCCTCTGATTGGTTGATTTTGACAGTTTTTGTCAACAGTGGAGCGTCTTCGATCACAAAGAGAAATGCGATATGGCGGTGATGACAGACTCTACGTCCCGTCTAGCCTGCGAAAACATCCGTTTCTCCTCGCTCTTCGCCGCCGGGGACGTTTCGCGAAACGTCCCCAGCGGCGAAGAGCGAGGAGAAACGGATGTTTTCGCAGGCTACGTCCCGTCACGCAGAATTCAAACTCGCAACAAACACAGCGCTGAGTGACTTTCCAAACGTGGAGGCTAAACGCGAAGAGAAAAGAAACTGTTTAAAACATGTAGTCGGCAGGATAGATGTCTTCGCAATTTAACCGACTGGCTTTGGGAAAAGTCTTATTTTCCAGCTGTTTCCTCGAATAAAACGTGCGTTGGAATGAAGGCAGGATAGAACGCCATTTACGATTGTCGGGGTAACTCCGTTGATTGCCATCATATCATGAAAGACCAAGTGGAACATTTCCCCTCTCCCCCTCCCTCACTTTTATTTTTTCGCGCTCCTTTTAACTTCGCACCGCTCCCCACTATCTGAACGCCTGGAACAGGCTATCTTCTCCGAATCTAAAGAGTTCTCTAGTAATTAGTGCCTTTGCCCGTAGACAAAATGCTCCTGTAGCGTTGTGAGGAAGATATCAAACAAGGGGGAAGTAACCATAATAATGGTTCTGGTGATTTTTGCATACCGTATTGAACAGCAAAATAAGGTTCATTTTTTCAAAGATTTTGCCACCCAGACGACTGGAAACAGTTTCAATTCCTAAACATAGACATGAACTCTTGAAACTAAAGTAGCCAATTTTTGATATACTGTACTTACTATCTGTCGTTTTTTGGTTATAAATAGCCTTCAGTAAATTTTGGAAATCAGCGCAACCTACAGATTAGTTAATCAGTGTCTTAGCTATATCTGCCAGCAGATACTTGACTAGTCTGTAAATTGCGTGAGCAATGGATGATTACCAATATTGTGCGCATTGCGCATTAGTCAGTTATCTGTTAACAAATTACTTAATAAGGTTGCCTTGATTTTCAAAAATTTACTGTAGGTTCTTAGCCAGTGAGAGGACAGATATAGTGTGTATAATTTAGAATAAAACATAAAGTAAACATATAAAATAAACAGCTGGTCGACCGGTCTTTAAGTCTGTGGTATTACATTTTACGATTGGATTCTGAAAATCAAACGCTTTGTGTTTTAACGTTTCTTTACAGGATTTGGACATATCGCCCCCGTGACATTTGCTGGCCGACTTTTCTGTATTTTATGTGCCTTGATTGGAATCCCTTTAAATTTAGGTGTACTAAAAACCGTCGGTGAACGAATTACAAAGTACATCCGCAGCACTGTCAAACACATCGAGAAGAAGCACTTAAAAAGAAGACGTCCAAACCGTGTTGGAGTTAAAGTCGCTGGAGTGGCATTCATTATGATGGTGATAGTTCTGCTGGTGGGCGGGGCATCAGACATGGTGTTCGATGGATGGACATTTTTTGACGGAGTCTACTTCAACTTCATCACATACAGTACAATCGGTTTTGGGGATTTATTTCCGCGAGTGGAAAAAGCCTCAAAACTGGATGAGCTTGGTTTTGGTGAAAACGGAAAGCGTCTATTCGTTTCATGTATCATGCTGATTTTTATGATCATAGGATTGTCTGTTACGTCAACAGTGATATGTTCGATTTTGCAAGCAGTTGAAGAAATGTCGCACGTCCCCGCAACCTGGACAAGTGTCAAGAGTTCGGCCATCTTCAGCCGAGACGATTCTGTTAAGTTAGAAAGTATAAAAGAGGAAACGGATGGAGAAACGATGCAAAGTTGGACAGACGAAATAAAATGTAACGATACGAATTAAACCGTCAATTCTTGCGTGCAAAATTACCCTTGCAAAAACATTTTACCGTTCAGTGAGATACAGGACCCTCAAGGAAAACGGTGTCAAGAATGATGTTTTTTTCCCTCTCTCTCTTTCTTCCTTTTTTTTTCGTTGCTGTTTGTTTCCTTTTTCGTTTTCCTTTTACGTTAGTATTTTAATAAGTGGAACTGTATAATTTATTTAATTAGTAATTATTCTTATAAAACATTGTAAAACTTGTCTTCAAATCAATAAAACCGTTAAAAAAAAGAATGATGTTAGCGATTGTAATCAAACGCTAGCCTGCGAGCAAGATCTCCAGTCAGGTTAGCGAGCCAAACGATCAGCGCGATAACTCGACAGTAAGCGGTAATCCCATCCCTCACACTCGCGTCTCCTATTGTCTACCACTCGCGCGACTTCACTTGACATCCCCCAAAAGAAGAACTTGTCAAATACAGGCGTGCCACCATAAGCCTCGTTTGGCGGGTTGTTTCTATTTCTAAAGCCCAATTCAAGCTTTAGCTAAGCGAAGCCGTTCAGTATTGTCTCGTCTTCAGGCGTTGTTATAGCGCGTATAGCAACAAAACACGTCGGAATGCAATAGGACATTTTGAGTTTACACTTGAGACTAGGTCTTGGTACAATTCGCCACTTTTTTGACAATCGAGAAGGGAACTGGAGGCGAAATGTGTCTCGCTATTGTTTCTAGGATCTTTATTGGGGACGCGCCGGTCAGCTATTGGTCATTTTTTCCTATCCCTGGTAACAGTCCCAGAAGTCTTTGCGAAAGTGGCAACTTGGACAATAGAGAGTTTAAGCACCGACGTTTTCGAGCGACGCACGTCAAGCGGAAGTGGAGTTTTTGCACTCTTCGGAACAAATTCTTGGACATATCGTCTCTTTAAGAATAAAGACACTTAGCAATACGAATTTGGTAGCTTTGAGGCATATTAAAAGAGAAAAAGGCTCACTTCCTGTTGACGTGCGTCGTTCAAAAACATCGCTGCTGTAACTCTCTAATAGGGTCTTATGAGGCTGTTTGAGGAGGGAAAATTTGACCTAGTTTTCTGCGCAGCCTCGTAACAACCACCAAAAGAAGGGTTAGTGTCTTCATAACAGTTCCATAGTGCAATTCGACACAACACGGACCCAGTCTTACGCAACTTCAAAGGAGCCAATGTATTCTTCCGGTGAAACCACGCGCGTCGGGTAAAAGAAACGAGGGGAGAGAGAGGGCGCAGGGTCTAGTGTTTATGCATGCATAGAGTAAAAACTGACATAAACTGCAATTCTCGGGGCTGACAAACTGGCAGGAGAAAAATTCGAACAGTCAGCTAGAAAACTAGGGTTTGACGAAACTAAGAGATTCTGAGGACTTCAAACTTCAACAACAGATTTGCTCAAAACATGCCATGCAAACTAAACAATTTTTTTTTTTTTTGCTTTAGACACTGCGGATGGCATGTTGTACTAGGTGGTCCTTGAAAAGCTAAAGAACCTTATCTTTGGCATGAGCAAACTTGGTAGTCAGTAGTAGAAAGCCCCCTTAAAGTATGGCATATCGCTGATCCTCCAATGACTTGGAATCGAATCTAACCAATCTACCATACCTCACAGAGAAAGCAGAAAATGAACTGTCTCAAAAAAGAAATTACGTCTGCTGCCCTGCATCCCGGCACAAATCCGTAACCCACCCTGTCTACTCGAGTTGCGCAGTGTTAGATATCAAGTCATTTATTCACTATGTACAACCAAAGTAAAGAATATGCCTTAGGTAAAACACGACTAAGAGTTCAAATAGGTTACGAGTTATTGAAATGCAGCTTCATCCTTGCTATGGGTTGTGATAAAATGAATAAACTGTATTTTTAAGTGCCTCAAAGAACACTTACTACTGCTGCTGTTATCATAACTACACCCTGCTAAAAGAGCCTTTCTCTCACTCACTCCATTTTGGTTGGGGATGTGCTGCTTGTTACTGGGATACAGTTTCGCACCCACGCCTAAAAGGTGTGTACTTGGTACAGTGGGCTTAATTATTAACATCGGTTTATCAATTAACGGATATTGGCACTCGGAAAACAAGTTTGACAAGAGAAAACAAGATTGACTAGTCCAGAAGTTGGCGACTTCAAAGTCTTGACGCAATTCAGGCAGACTCCCAGTGGCGGATCCAGACCTTCAGATAAGTGGGGGAGGGGGAGGGGGGAGGCGGTCTTAAAAAAAAATTTATTCGGCCCTTCGGGCCTCTGTTTCGTCCAAAAATAGGGGGAGCCGGGCCCGCCGGGCCCCTCCCCTGGATCCGCCACTGCCTCCTTTTCTCCTCCTTACTCGAGAAGACAAAAAAAGGCCCTGCTTGCAGGGTGTCAAAATTACCTTGCTAGTCCCTAGGCCTCATTATTCCGCGGGGCCAAAGCGTTTCGGGTCACGTGGTCCAAGCGATACGTCACCGAAGAATTGACCGAGAGGGCCCGGGAAAACGCCGACAGGGACTAGGCAAAAAACTACCGTCATGTTAAGTCTTCTAAGTGTTGTCCTCCAAAATCAACACCTTTAAGTTAGAATGTAACCATAAAAATTATCTCTACAGTAAACCGTGTGGCATTCCTTCCCGCCATGAAATGATTATTTTAATTCTGGATGCAATGTGAGGCTTGAATAACACGAACTGTTTGGCGCCACTATAATATATTCTAATAAATAGCTCTTCAAATTGGAGGACTAAATTCTCCACGTAGATTCAAGCTATTTTCTTGGCTGTTACCAACGAAAGGAAAGCCAAAGCTCCCACAACCAGTACTGAAGCATTTAGATTGAAAACACTGTCCCAACTTTTGAAAACTTCCAACAAATAACCTGTGATTAAAGTACCAACAATTCCTGGAAGAAAAAGAAAGAAAGATTAATCACATATTTCACTTGAGAAGGAAGAAATTCTCCCGACAAGGACATACAAATAAGTGGTTAAATCAAACCGCAAATAAATAAATAAGAAATTTAGTAATGTAGTAACGTAGAAATAAGTGCTTAACACAAAAACAAACAAATAAATAAATAAACAGAAGGGTTTACTCGTTAACACGTCAGTACTTAACCCAACCTTTCGTCCCCATGGTTCTTCTCGGAAGAACCATGGTTCTTACCAGCACCCCCCACCCCCAAGGACTTTCAGGCCAATAGTCTCTGTTTCACGAAATAAAAAGAAAAACTGCCTAAGGATAAGTTGTTTTACCAAACAGAGTATTTCCACTGAAAACTCTTCTTTAAAGACCTTTTTCACTTCTTTCGTCATTAAATCTTAATATTTAAGCGATGTTACAACAATTCAACGTACCCGAAAGCGCTCCAGCAGAATTCATTATACCTGAAAGTTAACAACAAGAGATTAATTAATAAAGACATAACAACCCTTCTACCAAAAGACTGTCAGGCTCTGCAAGGCATTATCCATCTCATAACAAACGCCTGCCTTTAGACTTCACAGTACTTCTTCTAGATAAGTGGCCAATTCAATTGAACTGAGCATGTTTTGCGGGTTGTATTTCGATTTTGTTTTAACGCCTGTGCTCTAATACAAAGCTTTAGTGGGCGTTTTATCTTCCTCCATTTGAGTACTTTACAAAGGTCGGATTTTCCTGGTAGCCACGGAGCGAAAAGACATTACCGGCTTGTTTTGTTTTGAGCGCGCGCACTAAGAAGTTTTTTATTTTTTTATGTTTTCCCTGGTTTTCTTTCAGGGCGTATGGAAACCTTGCATCGCCGGCCCGAAACGTCTGCAGACTGAACTCACAAATATCACAAGACAGCACTTTCGTTCATTACCCCTTTTTTGTATTGAACATAACTTTATTTACTTTCTCTTATCGGAATTTTTGTACGTTATCTGTTAGTTTTGACATACTTTGACAGCTCCCGACGACACACCCACGCGACAACACACCGACAGGGACGCAAATAGTTCGCGCCAAAATGACGTCACTTGAGATGACTTTTTGCAGGGGAAACAAGTCAAGTTCTCGCTCTCCCTTATCTTGCCGCAGAAAACATAAAAAATCTACCGCTCGCGCTTCGCGCTCGTGAAAGACTATGAGCTCGACTTGTAGGCAAGTCTAGACCACAACGTGAAATGTCCTCATTTATACACGTTCAATAGAGAAAATGTCGTATTGAAACTTGTTTCCTGTCGTCTGTTGCCTCAGATGCAAGGATAGTCATGAATTGAAAATTGAAAAAATGGGGGTTGTAATACGGTATGGAACGTTCCAACCTTATGTGAAAAATTGGGCCAATTTTTTCAAGTTTTAATGCTATTGCTATGCTTGCAAAAATCATCAAAAAAAATTATTAAGGTTAGTGCTCTCTGATGGAATTTATCTCATGTCTTCTTCATAACTCTACAGGAGCATTTTGTGGATCATTTTACGTTTCTGTGAAAACGCCAACCCACCCCTCCCCTAAGTCAACATTTTGCCCTAAGTAAGAACTAAGTGTTAATGTTGGTTTAGGGGAGGGGTAGGTGGGCAGTCTCCCAGAAACGTAAAATGATCTATAGGTAAAGGTACTAAGTAACGTTTTCAGCATACAATTATCCTAAAAGAGCAATCACCCTCGTGATTTAGCCCCTTAAAGGCAAAAAAAAAAACTTACCAAAGAGTGTGCCGGCAAACCTAGGTGACATGTCCTGGGGAGTGACGGGTGTACCGGCATTACCAAGTGCATTAAGACTCATGGCCATCATCATACAAAACAGTGCACTATGGAATGATCGACTCTTGTTAATGAGAATCATAAAGAAAGCCCCACCGCACATGGACAGAGTCTGCAGGGAAAAATGGAAGTATGATTCATTCATTTGTTTTGCACTCGTTTCCTATCCTCTAAAGACTTACATTTTAGTTTTAACACTGAGATAAAATTACCCTGGGTGCCAGAGTTTTGTTTTTTACATCTTGTGCAAATCGAGGGGAAAGCAGCGACAACAAGGCGTAACGCGCGTTTTAAAGCGATGGTCTTCTTTAGCTTACATTTACAAATTTTCAGAACAGCCCTCAGGTTATGATAATGTCATCTAATAACATCTAGACATCACTTCTATTTCATGTGTAATCTTAGAAAAAATGTGTTACCTGAAAAAATTTTCTAACAAACGTCACTGAGAACCCTGTAGGGATGTTCAAACAGAAATACAAAAATATTAACAGACAAATTCATGGCTCAAAATAAATAAATAAATAAATAAATAGGTCTTTTTAGTTCCGCGTTCCGGACGTTGTGTAATAACCAGCTGAACGTGGTGATCTATGATGTACTATAAGTACAGTGTTTCGTTGTAAAGGAAAGGAGTTGAAATATGTCTTCCTATAAGACTGATGAACATCCCACGAACATTGAGAATCACATCATTTTAAATTTGACCGTGTAACATTTATTTTTCACTGTTCGCCAATCTCGTTTAAGAGCAACCTGCTTCAGTAGGGTTATTAGGAAGTAGAGAGCGAACAGGACCAAACTCTTTCCGAGGTCTTACCTTCCATCCCAAACAAAAATTTCTTAAAACCCGTTTACACGGACGATTTTTCGTGCGTGTTTTGCTGCGATTTCACTCGGCGATTCTGTGGTGATATTATTGTTATATCTACGGCAAATAGTTACCTTATAAAATGCCTGGTTTAAAAACTTATCCGCCAAGAGACCCGTGGTAGGTCTATGTCAACTCTACAGCGCAGAAATTAGCCGATGAGAATCATCAACATTTGGGCAGGTTGGCAGAAAGGGCGTTTTCACTGCAACATGAAATCATCGAGCTCGCTTTTGAGTTGTGGCGTGGGTATTGTTAAGTTTTTCTTTTTCAGTCTTTTGAATTACATGTACGTCATTTGGTGATTGCACTCGTCTGCAACACCAAGAAACCCCACTTAATTTACACGCGGAAAGCATCCATGATGTAAGCAAGCCTACAGATAGGAGTTTGAAAATATCCCTACTCAGTGCCGCCCTAGATGAGAGGAACATTTTCCACCCTCACCTTTTCTTATCATGCAGTCAGCAACACGTCCAACAGTTAAAGCGACAGGAAAGTACAAAAGCCATGGAAGAACATTAAATACCCATTTCTACAAAAAAGAAACAACATCAGTATTGTATCAGCCAGGGGAGTTTAGCATAGGTAGCCAAAGCTAAGAACCGGTAAAACTGTAGGCTTTCCGCTTCCTCCTAAGTAAGGCGTTTCGTTTTTCGCATAGATTCGAGTGCCAAACGCGAGTGACACGCAGGTGACTGGTGACGAAACGAAAGGGACCATGGGAGTGAGAAAAATGAGAGGCAAAGTGACGTCTGGCCCGTTTTCTCCTTTCTTCCTTCTTCCTTTGCGGGCAAATTTTCATCGAGAGAGAGAGACGTCTGGGTAGACTGTTCGCAGTCTAGGTACGAGGTAAATAGGCTTTGCCTTTATGGAAAGAAATGGTGAAAAAAAGAATGGGAAATAGATTATGTTTCTCGAAACTCTGTAAATATGTAGAAATGTCGCTTCTTCTAAGCGGTCAGTTTTCAAAGTCCCGACAATCACTTCACTTGATATACTGTAATTTCGACCTCCATTAAGCGGTCGCGGTCACCATTTGCGAAGTCCCAACGGGACTTTTTCTGTTGTCTTGACCTGTACTGAACGGTCACTCGGTGTCAATTACTTGTTCATACAGTTTCAAATAATGTAACATACGAGGTACAACAATTGATTTGCTTGTTTATTTTTGCAAATCATTAAAACGCCAGAAATGAATGTTTCTATTTGAGGTCAAACGTCTGATCTGATCAGCACTGGAGATCGAATTCTTTGAACTGTATTTCTTGCAACCTGTATTAGTTAGTCACCCTGTATTAAGCGGTCACTTAGCCATTCCCCGAGGGTGACCGCTTAATACAGGTTCGACCGTATGTTTTTCTTAAAGCGCTGTTTTTCAAAAGGTTACTTAGGGGGCAGAGTAACCGGAGCAAAATGACGCGGGAGCGAAATGACCGTAAAGCATCTTAAACTAACCTTACTTCCAGGGTAATGCTCTTCAAAGTACATTGGAAGCCAAGCGAATACATTCCAGAAGGCAATTCCCTGACAAAAATGAGAAAGGACAAGACCCCTGAAAAGACAAATGCACATTTTAACTTTTTATACTGGAAAGTAATCATTTTATTACATGTATCAGCACTGTCAATCTACTGTGTCAGCCATGGAATTTAAGAGTAGGTCCTGGAAACTTTACCCTGGGTGCCAGAGACTTTTCTCGCGCGGTTTCCGGTTTCTGTCAAGTTTTTATAGTGACCCGCGCTTCGCTTCGCCGCTCGTGGCTTCGGCCTATACGGCCGAAGATGTGTCGGCCGTCGGCCAACACCGAAGATTCCCGCCGCACGCGAGAAAAACAAATGGACAAATTTTTACACCTCTTTGTCAGTAGTCTGTGCATACAATACAAGTTCTGAGCTTTTAAGTTCTCTACAAGTTTCCTTGGTCCAAAGCCTTGTAAACAGACACCAGCTCAATTCTTTCCGCTTAGCAGAGTAAACAATGGAGTCTAGTGAGGTAAGTCTGCCAACTTTTGATTCTATGGACAAAATCCTATGATGTGACCATTCAAATGAAACCTCTTTGGTGGTACTTTCAAATAGTACTGTATGTTTTCCAGCATTATACAAAATGAAATTTGGAATTTTGGTCTAATTTCGACTTTGGCCTCTCCTGGGAGTAAAAGGGCTAATGAAGGTGTCATTTAATCAAAAAACCTAAAAATCACCTTTTGCCAATTTTTTCACCTGATTTTAATAGCCAGATTTGGTTGTTTTATGCTGAAGAGTGGAATTTTCTCAAAAAGTTTGGTACTTTGCTTAAGGTTTTTTCCCGAAAGTACAAGTAATGAAAGAAAAGTTTTGAACAACACCCATACAGTGAATGTGCATAATATGGGCTATGTAACTAAAACCACTTACCAAACTGCTGGATGTCTTAAAAATATTTCCCATGGCACATTTACTAGAGATGCCCTTTCAGAACCAGTTGCTTCCACCATCTTAATGTTTCCAAGAGCAAACTGTTGTTGCTCGGGTAACAGTAAATAGAATCTCCAAATGTATGCCCATAATAATGACACAAGACCGTGAAATATAAAGACACTATGCCAGCCAAATTGAGAAAGAAATATTGAACCAACACTTCCCATGAACAATGTTCTGTGAGGAAAATCAATGGCAAAAAATCGTTAATTCCAATTCCTACATGTATATGGCATATTGTTATGGCATGTAAAACGATTTTTTCCAAAACCTGCAACATTTACCAGTTATTTATAGCATTCTGAGCATTCAAGTTTTCCCCTTGCAAAGAATTCAGCTTGAGTGAGCCAAATGTTCTCAGACTGTTTGCCATGTCTAGCAATGACAGGGTTGTCACTAAGATTTCAAGTTGCCGGGTAAATACAACAAGTAGGCGGGGAATCAAATGGCTAGGGATTTCTTTTGGTTCTATTTTTCTTCTATTTTCCAATAAAAGTGGCCGGGGGCCACTCTCTTAGTAGCCGAGGAAAATCCCCGGCCCCCGGCTCTTAATGACAACCCTGAATGAGTACAGCTTTTTAATCATAAACCATTACGTCTTCGTCATATTTGGACTACAGGTCACTGGTTTGCCTTGAGCATCTGTTCAGCACACGGTTGCAAGAAAATTGCAAGTTCTGTCAATGTTATTTTACTCAAAGGTATTACGTTTGGGGGGAATCTTGTCCTCAGAATTTCATGAACTTAACCATGAGCATCTTGATTGCCTGAACTAAAGCTTCTGAGCCCCTCACCCCACTCCCCCAGTTATGGGCCCATCTACCTGTAAACTAAAAAATACATCCAACTATAAGCCTCCACCCCCCCCCCCCCCACCCCCACACAACACCCCCCCCCCCCCCTCTCAACACTAAATTTATCAATTTATTATATTTTTTTTAGTAATAAAAAAAACAAAATCAAAAAAAATATTATAGATATCCCCCCATCTCTTTTCTTTAGGGAATCTTTGCCTCAAAATTTCATAAACTTAAACCATAGGATTTTTGTTGCCCGAAATAAAGCCTCCGACCCCCCCCCCCCCCCCCCCCCGTTTATGGCCCCTCTACCTGTAAACCAAAAAAAAAACCCCACTATAAGCCCCCCCCCCCCCCCCCCCACCCCAATATAAGCCACCCTCTAGCTTGCATTAAAATTAATTTGATCAATTATGACATTTTGAAGCGTATAAAAACCAGTGAATGCAAAACGTATTTTGATCAGTTCCGCCATAGCTTGTTCTGATACAAGCCCTTCCATTATAAGCCCTCCTTAAACCCCTTATGAAGATAGTGGCAGTTTACAGTATTTTTAGGCCTTACAATTAGTTTCGTGAGTTGATTGAGATGATGTAGTTAAACAATTTGGACCAATTAAGGTTTCTGGGAAACTGCCCACCTACCCCTCACATAAGCCAACATTATAACTTACTTCTCACTTAGGGCAAAATGTTGGCTTGGGGAGGGGTAGGTGGGCAGTTTTTGAGAAACCTAAAGCGATCCAACAATTCTCTGACGCTCTGAGTTAAAAGCAGCATTACAACACTGTACCTACCCAACAGGGCCACCAGCAAATATCGTGCTTGTTAAAAATGTTCTGTCTCTAACTGATATCCTTTTTGCTATGATGTTTGTTAAGGAAGGATAGTGCAGGCCTGCAAAATAAAAAAAAATTGGTCTTTAAGTTAATAAGAGGAAGCAGGAGTAAAATGATTGAGCTGGGGCTTCCAGAAAGGCTATTGATATTTACAGTCCCTGACTGGTACCATTATATTTTCTAAAATAACTAAGACAGTACACGCACTCTGATTGGCTAAGAGGAGTGTTTGCATGAGAGTATGTAAACATGGTTATGGCATCAAGATGTTTTGCTTTTCGCACACTAATCACACAAGCACAAATTTGAAAACGTTTTCGAGTTCAAATCTCGACAAGTTTACTTTATTTACCCATTCCTTCATCGGCTGAAACTTGGAAAATCGTTACAAACAAGGTATGTCAATTATTTTTCACTTAAGCTGACATTTTAAGCAAGAAAAATCCATATTTTGGAAAGCATCTTTTTGCAAAACAAGAACTGATAACGTGTGCAAGACTTTGTGTACAGGACTTTGCAATTGGTAAGAATTCCTCTTTTAATCAGTGCCATAACAAAGAGTTTTGCATTTTTTCTTGAAAAAGTTATTTCATAAAAGCAATAGAAAACTTTTTTCCTGTGTTTGCATAGCCTTATATGAACACTCAAGGGGCTGGGAGAATTCTCGACAGTTATGCAAACATGGAAAATGTTTTATATTGCTTAAATCTAAGTACAATCAAACCCCGTTAATACGGACACTGAAGTGTCTGTATTGAGCAGGTCATGTCGTTAAAGTCAAAAGACACCTTTTATTGGAACAAAATACTAAAGGACATTAGCATCCTCAAAGCCATCACAAAGCCTTCATTCCGCGGACTAAATCCATTGAATCACTCAAAAATCTGTCATTTATATATTACTTATTCAAAAAGTTCTCTGCTGAACTCATTTGATGCAAAAATAATCTGAAATTGACGTCTACAAATCATGCTATCCGGTGCACTGTAGCACTGGGAACATCAACATGCTGTCAACTGAAGTTTTTTTATATCTCCAAAAAGGGAAAATCCATCGCAGCACCAATTAGTAATGAAATGTCCACATTAGCAAGGTTGACTTTCTATGAGAATCTGTTGATTAGGCAACAAAAAAGTGTCCACTGTCCGCATTAATGGGTGTCCATATTAAGCGCGTTGAATTTAGAGAAAGCATTGGGGTGTTCTGCAGGGAAAATCAAAACTGTCCGTAATGACTAGGTGTTAGTATCAGGTGGGTGTCCTTGAAGCAGGATTCAACTGTAAGATCTGCACAGACCAAACTTCAGCTATACTTGATAATTTATGCTATGATGATACCATAGACAGGTACTGCTGAACAAAAGAAGTTTCTTTTTTACAGAAAACTTTAATCTTTTCTTATAATGCCCTCTTTACCAATCACCCAAATTACAGGTCAAAGCAAGGGTGAGTGAATGTGGAGCAAGGAACGGAATTCCATACTTATTTAGCCCTGCAGTGTATCAAGTGTAATTTCATGAAAGAAGAGATGACCGTCTAACAAAGACCGTGACAATCTGGGGACCAATAACATTTAAATAGAAATTTATAAGAAGCTGCATACAAAGATGCAAAGTGGGGTGGGGTGGGTCACGGTTTTGCTTCCTCGTTATAAGCCTTTCCAGGATGTCACCAATGTGTTTAACACCTTCCAGAATCAATAAGAAAATGAGTTATTTCAGGGGTATTCCATTGTTACTACTTAACAAGTTTGGGACATATATCTAAAAAGCTGTAACATTTCCAACACAGCAGGGATATTTTACAGAATGCTGAAGGGCTGGCCAGTACCAAATGACTCTGAAGTTTCGTGCTTAGGGTTGCGAAACTAAGTGAATCAAGTTTCAAGTCAGTTTGTCTGGTATCGTGTCCCTAAATGGAACCTGATTCACTTTCTTAACGCTAATCACTAAACTTCAGAGCTCATTTGGCATTTGGTGGCCATTCAAATTCTGCAAAATACCCCTGCCGTTTCCAACACAATATAGAATATCCATACGAGTTTGAATAGTGTCACACTACAGATTGTGAAAAAACCCTAACCATTCAAAGAGAACTTGAATCCAACTGGAAGAGATACACTGCTTTACCAGTTCACAGGCAAATTAATTTTATCCAGGCATGTACTTTATGAGATCACTAACCTTGAAACAGTCCAGTGCACATTCTTGCTGCTAGCATCATCATGGTTGGAGAGAGAAACAACACAGATGACACAGGAAGAAATGGTACAGCAAGGGTTAATAATGACCAAGCAACTGCTGCAGACCCTAAAATCACTTCCCCTCCATATTTATCACTTAAAAATCCACCAACAATTTGTGCTGGCATATATCCACAGAAGAAAGCAGACATGACTGCTCCCTGTAAAAAAAATACAAATAATTTGGGAATGAGGCCAGTTTCCAGGAAGCACACGCAAAGATAACCCTTACTAAGTGAGTTTTCTGCACTGTAAATTTACCCACCAAGTTTTTTCTTTTACTGTTTGATTTATAGCTTGTGCACCTCAAACTTGGTTTTACAAAAAAATATATTAATATTATATAAACGAGTTCAGTTCAGGCAGTAATTTTATGGAAGAAGTCAGTTAGTCATTTTGATTCAACAATGTTGTTCTCTTTTCCTTTAAACTAGTTCAGCTGTTCTAAAACTGGTCAATGTGATAAAATTAATGGAAGCACCCAATAATAAAGAACAGTCAACTGTCTCTAAACCAGGGGTCAATTTAACCCATTACCCCTTGAGCGACCTGTAACCGTCCAAGCGGATCAACATCCTTTCTACCGCTCGTGATGTCATCAGTTTTGATTGTCAAGGATAACTTTGTCCGCTGACTTGTGTAGAGTGAAGAGATCTTTCAAACCATACCAGAATGAGCACAATTCAGTCAAGGACACCAGAGAAAAAGGCAAAAAAAACATGTAACATTGACCTGAAAATTTCCATGAAAATCTTGTTCCACTAACCACTTACCTTTCCTTTCATCTAATCCTAAGATCCTAAAAGCTTTCCTACAAACTTTTCCCACCAAAATGGAGCCCTTTTGCATTAATATTTCCAATATTTATGGCGTCAGGTTGCCATCTGCAATCCCCACATCCTTTCCATTGAACTTATCAGGCCATCTGATATTACAAGATCGTGCGATTTCGCACAATTGACCTCAAATTGTATCCGATCGCACAATTTGAGGAAAAGCGCCTAATTCATAAAAAAAGCTAAATTCAAGTAAAGTAAACAATGAATTCTAACTTAAATTGAACGTTTTCTCAATCTTAATGTTATTTAAGGTGATTTACCACTAAAGAGAGCCTTGCAAGACATCTGAAACCTTCGATCACAGTATCCCGGCAGTGTGGTCAGCAGTGTAACAGCGTCATGTAACATTAAACAACGTACAGTGTCCTTTTTTTTCCTTTCCAATTGTTTTCTTTTCCGGGTCAAGATAATTGGACAAATTTAACTTTTTTGTTTTAAAACAGACATTTTATTCTCCCTCTACATTCAAATTGCCTGCTAAACAACATTAAAGTGGTTAAATCGCAAAATTTATCACTTAATAGTCCTATCTTGTCGCACAATCTGCCCTCAAAATGCTGCATAATTTCTGATTTTTCATCGCACCCTATCAGAAGGCCTGCTTAAAACAAAGTCATGAATTTTCCTCTCCCCAGAGGCAGAGAAACTTATCCATCTTCACTTGGTTCAGAATAGGCCTTTTGTATTAGTTGATCACATGATCAACTTTCGGTAAACACGAAAACAGTTTGCTCTTGAAAAATCTTGTCAGCATGAGCTGAAAGAGGATATTAAAGTTAGGCAACCTGTAAATTTTCAGCCATACATATCTCAAAAGTAGTGATTGCAACGGCCACAGAAAATTAGAAGGATTTGTATAAGAAAAACAACTTTTGCCACCCAGTCATGCTTGAATGGTTTCCATACAACTCCTTGTAAATTTTGAAATTTTCAAACTTTTGTGAAACATTTCCTTAAGCATTAAGAGGCTCAAATCTCCTTTTAATTCATAACAGGCACTTTGAGCCCTTAAATGGGTAAGGGAAAGATTTAACAACAGTTTAAAAATTTCAGAATTTACGAGGAGCTGTATGGAAAACCACTCAAGGGTGACTGGGTGGCAGGAGTTGTTTTTCTTATACAATCCTCTTAATTTTGCGGCTATTGCAATTGGTACTTTTGAGATATACGGCTGAAAATTTACAGGTTACCTTTTTCAAAGGCGAACTCTGTTCGTGTTTACCGAAAGTTGATCACGTGATCAACTAATGCAAAAGGCCTATCTCACATTTATTTTTTTGCCTTTTGGAGGTTGGCAAGAATGGTTTTATCCTTGGTTTATTTTCGTTTGTTTTTGGGTATGGTACTGTATGATAATGAGCTTGGAATAAAGTAGTTGAACAAAGGAAAATAAAAATTAAACCAAGGATAAAGTTGAACCACAACATATAAAAAAACCATGCATGATCAGTAGACTGTATTTAACGAAACTTACGTCGATCTCCTTATCCCAGTTCATGTCAGTGCTCATGGCTGCCATACACAACGGAACAGCTGATCTCGTCGCGTACAATAACAAAGTGCCACAAAACATGGCTACTATCCAGTACCTTCGCTGGTTTTCGGGCCACTGAAATGCCGTGTCTCCCTTATGCATGTGATGTACACTGTCCATTTCGATTTTCAGACGTATCGGCGAAGAAGATGTCATTTCTGCCTAAATTTCGATTTAATGAATCGATCGCTGTTAACAGGCTTATATCTCATTATCCATCGTAAAAACCTATGAAACGTCCGTGCGATTAAATGTTAAACTTTGCGAAAACAGGGCAGACAAATATTAAGTTTGAGTCAACTTGACTTCCAGAGCTGTTGACTGAATCGACCATGCATAAGTTGAAAGACAGTTTCGGCGTCGCCACTTGAGATTCTTCAAGCGTTACCAAATCATGATATTGCTTTCGATATACAGTCAGTTCTTCTTTCCTGTATAATAGGAAGTTGATCTTATAAATGTGATCAAATTAACTTGATTTTCGATGCCAATGAAGCGCAACACTGCTACTGAATGAACATTTTTCCCTTGCCACGTCTGGCTTCTTGCCGAGGAGCCAAGCCTCCTTGCGGAAGTTTCGAAACTCCCGCTCAGCCACAGGCTATCCCATCCTCGGAGACCCAGGGGCAGATAGTGGGGGCGAGGGAAAGTCTAAACGGGCGGGAAAATATGGCACGAAGAAAACTAAACAATTTCTTCGTGCCATATTTTTCCGCCCGTTTAGACTTTCCCTCGCCCCCACTATCTCCCCCTGGGTCTCCGTGGATGCAGGCTATCCAGGAATAATCGTGAAACAACTTGCAACAAAACAAAATTACTATACTATGGAGGTGGGCTGACACATTTACTTGATGATCAAAGTTCAGAGTAAAGAGGATGTTTTGTAAGGCAAGTGTGTCCCGCCGATTCAACGAAGCTTGCTCCCAGCATGCTGTTTTTCTTGGGTGCACGCAGTTGCCCCGAACTATTTATAGCTTTCTCTAGCGTTCGTGTTCGTTTGGAAGAGATTCATTGTGTTAATAGAGTAAAGAATTTTAGATGGTTTCTACACTGACGGAAACTGAAGTTGTCATGAAACTTTGCTGTAAATGTTAACCATGCATCTTCCGTCCGTCATTCAGCCTTTGTTAAACAAGTTTTAAATATCGTACATGGTGTAACTGCGTTTTTCTTTTTTCTTTCTTGTTCACGATCTGAGATTGTCAATGACCTCCAACAATAAAATAGTGCCATTAACTGACAACTAACAGCACTACACACTCATAATGTGCATACTGAACTGACTACGCAGCTACTGCTTCAACTCTCTTTTTCAATATTTTAAAATGTCCAAATTAATGACACTCAGATTGACGTAAATAAAATGAAGAAGATACAATTGCCTTAGTAATGTTATAATATCGGCTGAGAGAAAGGAAAATGGTGTGAAGAAATAAAAATAACAAAAATAAAAGAAATTCGTGCAAGATGATGCCGCATATTAACATTTATTTTCCCGTCTTTGTTAGAATTACACTAACTAACTGACCTTGTTTTGTTTTGTAATTGACGTCTGACTGTGTTGAAAGAATATAGATTCCTCTAAAGCAGGTGTCTTTGCTTATCTTCTCGCGATGAGGAAATCGCCAAACTGATCTCAAGAAACTGGACAAATACACTGACTCAGTGAATAAATTCAGCTATATTTTGATTCGGTAAAAACCAGGGTGTTTGACACTATGACAATCCTTTCCACCTGTATGCTTGCATTGTTTGTAATCACATCCACTGTTAATCTTTTACTGGACATTAGGTGAGTGGCTGAAGATAGTAATACATTAGCTAAAATTCAAGGAGGGTTGCTTTTCTTGAGACGAGAGTAGATTCTTTAGCACTCTTCTTTGCTTCTCTGGTGTGGTCATTAAAAACTAGAAAGCCAATTCGAATGCATTACTAATGCAAATAAAAAGTAATTTAAATATTACATTAAAAACTATCTATTCGGCTCCTTTTTTACTTCTCAGCAGCCAAAAGCTGTGAATTACACTGTAAAGGCTCGTTAATACAGGCACGTATAGTTTATTTCACCCTACTCAATATCAATACTAGTGCTTTGCACTTGAACGTTCAGATAAGTAAGATAAGGCGATCTTTTTAATATCTATTCAATCGTGATCGGAGCTTACACCATTAACGGTGAATAGCTCAGTCTTGTTGTCGTTTGTAGCTGTTGGGAAAAAGTATTATCTGGGTCTTATTCAGCGCTTTTGCACTGAAGGTAAGAACGTGTTCACTCGGAAACTTATAGACTGATGGTGATTTTTCGTAGCTCAGTGGCAAGAAACCTTGACTGAAATTAATTGGAACAAACCGTACGCGTTCTTTTAAAGATACAGTAGGAACGGTACTAAAAAGGAAACACTAAATCGGACTAAGATCACTAATACGCCAAAAAAGGGAAACAAAACTGACTTCGGTTCCATCCGCCCCCATACATTTGCACACAAAAACTGGCCATGCCATTTGACACTGTACCAGATAGAGTGATTCTCGAAAATAGAAAAAATGTATCCAAATCAGTGCAATAAGACGTGTCAGTGTGTCTCCGGGGTGAAGAGACATACTTTTAAAAATGGGGTATTTTATATTCCACTTTTCGTAATATTCCTTCTCAGAAATTTTCGTTATCCCATTTTTCCACGAAATTACATGAATCATTTCAAACATTATCGTTTTTCCTATTCCTATTCCATTATATTATTTCTCTTCATCCCCAATGGAACCAGGCTATGTTTACACTATACTGGGTGCAGACGTCTCCTGGGTGCACTCCGAGTGCAACAAAGGAAATAGGAGACGTCTGCACACAAGGCAAGATAGCTTTTGCATCTGCACGAAAACCATATCCAGGGGCGGATCCAGGATTTTTTTTAGGAGGGGGTGCACTCGTCTCTTGCTCTACTTCCATACCAATAAACCACATAGTTTTTTTTTACAGAATACCAGTTGTATTAGAAAACCGCAGGTCATCTCGGGGGGGGGAGGGTGCGCACCCCCTGCACTCTCCCCCTAGATCCGCCCCTGATATCGGATATATATAGCTTCTGTTTACACATAAGAACGGTGATTTCGGCGGGATTTCTGAAACGGAGAGAAACTGCGCCTAGCCGAACTCTAAAGTGGAGCGTCACATATCTGCGCAGTAGTTTTTAGGGAGTTGTTATAACTCCAAAAATGGAGTAAAAATTTTAGGTACAGGATAACCCCTCTTTTGGGGTTACTTTAACTCCTAATTTTACTCCAAATTTGGGGTCATTTTTACTTCTGAAAAAGAGTTCTTTTCACTCCCAGTCTGGAGTTAAAATAACTCAGAAAATGGGGTTGTTTTTACTCCTTACATGGCTTGTTTTTACTCTTTTTGGAGTTACTTAACTCTGAAAGTGGAGTAAAGACTTTAGGCACAGGAAAACTCCTTTTTGGGGGTTATTTCACTCCTGAAAAAGAGTTCTTTAAACTCCTTTTTGGAGCTAAAATAACTCCCCGAACAATAACTCCACTGTAAGGAGTTAAATTAACCCCACTAGAGGATGTTATTATAACTCCTTGGAAATTGCTGTGTGATAGGTGCTCATACTCTGTACCGCTGTCCGATATAGTGTTGGCATAGACTCATTAGAAGAGGCGAAAAAGTGCATCTGCCATGCAGGATGCTTTATTTCAGTCAAGAGTTATTGGTTATTTCAGCATCGGAAGCATATAACCTTGAATTCTGGGTTATATGATTCTTTTCTCATTGCGTCAATTTTAGAAAAATTCGAAGATATACGACTACTAATAGGTTTAGGCAATAGTCAATTAATTTCCGTCAGATGCCTTTATTCCTCAGATATTTCAGGGGTCAGTTTCTACCACAAACGGGGAAAAAATTGCTGAGGCAATGTACTCAAAATACGGTAACTTTAGATAACAAAAAAATCCACATCCCTTCCCCTCCCCTCTATTCAAAGTTGGGGTGTTTGTTGTTTTTTACAAGTAACTCGAACAGTGGCACAACATTGCATGGATAGGACAGTTTTATTTTCCCCTTTTGAAGCTAATAAAACGTTAGAAAGGTCATTTTGGGCAGAGCGTTTCGACTAATTTTGTCGCGCCGATCGTAGATAGTATCCTTCCAGCCTTGTCCCTATGCGTTCTCGGCTCGGTCAATCCTGTTCTCTACCGTGAGCTGTCACCGAGAGATACTCGCCGAGATTAATCGCCGAGATACTCGCACGCTCTTTCCCAGACTTCGCGCGGACAACGGGGTAAGAGAGAACGCCTAGGGACTAGGCTGGTATCCTTCAACACGATCGGCCTTGTACAACGCTAGTTGTATTATCGGTATTTGAAATATGGCCTGATTAGACATCCTTTTGCCTTATTGCCAGCCTTGCAATTAAAATAAACTATTTATACGTTACAGTAGTATGCAGTGACTAAGGTTTATCTTGCGTTGTGTGAGAGTGGTTTCCTGCATTCAAAGTTCTGCCTAGAACCCATTCCCAGTTCCTAGAAAGCCGATTATCAGGATTAAATATCGCTAATCGCGGAATGAATTTTATCCCACTGTTAGATTCTGTTCTCGAAAGCACGATTAAGACTAATCTAGGAGTAAATGGTAAACCCAGGCTTCCGGTTCAAAAAGATCAAAACGAAGTAACCTTAATGAAATGACCAGTACAATCACTAGATTTAAATATAATAGAAAATATCTTTTTCTATGTTTTTCAAAATAATATATGTAACCTGTAAAGCGACAAAACAAATAATCAACAATCAATCAATCAATCAATTGTTTCGTTTTTCTCTTTTCTAAAAAAGATTAACCCGATAAGCGCCTTTAACGTTTGCGTTGTTCAACCACGCCAAAACTGACGCTGTATCTTCCTCATCGCAACTGTCGCAAAACTCAACATCTAAATGGCTATTACCTGACTTGATTGGGATTTCTAACACTCGGTAGGGCTTATGAAAAAGCAAGAGAGAAAAAAGCGCGAAGACTGACTGAAGTCCCGCGAGGCGCATGTTCTGAAAACACTCTAAGAACTGAAATTTCAACTGCTTTTCTTACTCGGCCGGTGGGTTCTGTACTAAACACTTGTTTTCTTGTGAACAGCTTGGGGAATTACAATGGCGAAGAAGGAGGGAACACGACGCCAACCGATGGAAACTTGACAATAACTGAAGAACTGACCCCATTTCCTCCCACCACAGAAAATCAAGACCCGACGACGACAGCAAATTCTACTACCCCAAGCAGTTAGTCTGGTTGAACTAGACTCAATTTAAAAGCCTGAACTAAACCACTAACATTCAGCTTTCTATTCTATAAGACGCTTGTTTTAATTCAAGAGTGATGTGCATGTAAAATAAAAGTAATAACAATAACAAGGGAGGTTTGTATGACACGATTATGTGCAAATTTAGCAAACTGTATCCATGACTTTTGTTGAAAGCATACTTTCACTCCATTATGTACTGTGATTGTTTCTCATACGAATGGTATTTGGATCTGAATTTTCAAACCGACTCAGCTGACATTTTCTCATTTTACAATGACAAGGTTGATTTAAACTGCTTTTCGCTATAAAAATTTAATCCAATGTAACATTGTTCCTACTTTGAGCTGTTTCCGTAGAACTGTTTCTAAAGGGTGATAGAATAAAGTAACAAAAAAATTACAATAAATTTCAATGGAAACAAAGTTGAAGTTAATTAAGTCTGCTCCTTTCTGTTGGTTATACGGCTAGCCTGCGAACGGGAGACGTTTTAATTTCTCCTCGCTTATCGCTAGTTATCGTCCCTCAGCGGCGATGAGCGAGAAGAAACTGACGTCTGCCGTTCGCACGAAAAGTAGCTACTTTATCCTCGTCCATGGTTGTCACTTAATAAAAAGCCAAACTGATGAGATACAGTCAGTTAAACCGTCGGTGAGTTTTTTCTGTTTTGTATGACATGTATGAAAGGAAATGAAAAAACCTGTTTTTCTTTCTTTGTTTTCCTTTGATAGTTTATTTCGTTTTTAAGTGCATTGTCATGTTTTTAACACATCGCGTCAGTCTTTTTGTTCTTCTACACGTGGCTGTTATTTTCCCTAATACTTCTAGAATCCACTATCGTCTTCCAGTTGTGAATTTTTATATATGGCAATTCTCCATTTTCCGACCTAGACCATATTGCACCATTTTTACCCACGAAATTTTGCAGAACCGATGTATTCAATTTCTCTTGGGGTGACTGTAATACCCAGGATAACTGATGGCAAACAATGTTTATGCAAAATTTTTTTCTTGGTGTGGGGGAAGAGGGGTGGTAAACAAGGTGCATCATGATGAATGTGAAAATGGTGATAAAGCGGCTGCAGTTTGCACGATACGAGTAAGCACTACATTGAAGCATTCTGTTAGTAGTAGGTTTAAGATCTGTACGCAAAGAAGGTTACAGTCAGTTAGAAATAGACCACCTATTTAAATCTATAGTGTTGCCGAACTTAGTGTATGGTTTGTCAGCATATGGAGCCTTCGAGGCTCAACTTTCGATCGGGCAATGCAGTGCTGACATGCTGAGATAAGGTGGGGGTGGGGGGGCGGTCATACATACATACATCTTACATCCAGACCCAGACCCTGAGACTGTAAGGGGTGGGGGTGCCCAGTCTCCAAAAACAATTTTTCGGCCCTTCGGGCCTCAGTTTGGTATAAAAATATTAACGGGGTGGGCGGCCTCCCCTGGATCCGCCACTGCAATGTTTTCTAAATAGATGCTTAAGCATAATTGTATTTCTCACAATGTTGACATCGGCGAGTTCCTAGAAAAAAAGACAGAAGAATTTACAGCAAAGTGTCTAAGGTCCTGTTTACATGGAGGTGGCGGTCCCAAGGTACGTGAGGTAGCCCGCTAAGGTGGAGTAACCCGCCTGTCGGTATAATCTCTCATGTTAATGTGATCACGTTAACATGATAGGTGGGGTGACCCGCCACATGTTACCTCACCTACATGGGGTACCCCACCTCCATGTAAACAGCGCCTAAGTGGGAAGGCCACCCTATCTATCACGCCACCGCGGTCAAACGTCTAAATCGTTATTTTTGTTTTTTATTGCTGGTATTTTATTTACCAGTTAGAGAAAAATGGGCAAAGATGTATAAATCAGTTAGTCAACATAACTATCTTTCCATTTTTCTCAAAATTTTGAGTTTTTTTCGCTGAAAACGCTTCGCGCTAAAAGAGAATCATGTTTGAAAATGGCGCCGATAATAACGTCAGCATCGGTTTTCAATCACTTAGAACTTTTTTAGTAAACTTTCAAAAAGTTTCGTAAACTAACAGGATGTTGGTGTTACCTTAAACTTTCGATAGTGAAAGTAGCAAACCTTAACTTTGAAGTATTTCGCTTAACTTTTGCAAATTTCACTCGTTTGACCGCTGTGAAATCTATCACATGCTTCCCAAAGCAACGGAACCTAAGAACCAGCTGCGTCGTAGTTCTGCTGTTAGGCCAACAATTAATGCCCAAAGGTTTATGAACACTTTTTAAAGTCGTTTAATATTTCATTACAACTTATCCGTTTAGATTTTTTCTTTGTGTTTTTTTTAAGTTTTCACCTTGTCATTTTACCATTTTTACATAGTCTTTTGAATACGAAATTCGTTATTTCTCAGATATTTCAGTGTACGTTTTTAAAATTCTTTTATCTTGTCATTTTATCTGCATCATATATTGGTAGCATTTGGCTCTTTTCTGAATTATAGTTTTTGTTATATGGAATACGTATTTTTATTCTATGAAATAAAGACATATTATTATTTATATTATTATGATTAGTAGTAAAATGATGTCACCATGCATGCAAATGGTCTATTACTTTGTAACTCCGGTGTTCGGGTGAATGGCTGTTGTATTGATTCTACATTTTACACTATACCAAAGCTCAAAGCCGCCTTTTAGACACGAACGGCCAGTGATTTTAGACGTCACCATGACAAAAATAGATAGTTACAAGAGAGACGTATATTTAGATTGAGGGGGTACACCCATCATAAGTTCAAAATTCATATGTGGTAATGCAAAAAGTTTGCTTCACTCGGCTGTTTTTTTTTCATAGAGGTATGAAAACTCTCGATGCAAGTTTACAAGGGCTTTCTTTGGCTTGTTTCCTTGTGGATTGTGCTGGCTTCACAGACTTAAAAACAGAACAGCTCTTCTATAAACCAATGACTACAGTGGCTGGACTAGACGGACTAGTCGAGACTAGTCTTGATCTAAAGAAGATCTGAATCAGTTAAAGATACAACGAAGGTTTGTGTTTCAAACTGAAATATCGGGCACAAATATTATAGCGATATACTTTTTAAAATTTTATTTATAGAAGCTCGTGTCGCGGCTTTGCCCTAAGGATCAGTGCAGTTTGCTGTTCAGTTTCTGTCGTTTATTTGTAATTTACAGCGGCTAGCGATACTACCGGCCCTGTTTATAATTACAACTTGGAAAAACATGGTTTTGTAAATGGCAAAGCAGTTATTTTTTCTCTAGATAACTAGAGCAAGTTGTTAAGTTACAAAATTGTAATTCTTTGTTCGAGAATTAAAAAAAGCTATATAAAATTGTAAAATTATAAATTACTAAATATTGTATACAATATGAAATTTGTGAAATATTTTATCTCAGTGTTTAAATCAATTGCTGTTAAAACAGGAACACTAATGGAATGTTGATCAATGTTCAATCAATGTTTCTTCTATAAAAGTAGCAATTTTTCCGCTCTAAAATTACTTATTACGTCATTTAGCACTTTTACTTTTGCTTGGGTAAGCCCCTTCCCGCCAAAAAATTACCGGAAATAGAACCCAGTACTCGGAACACCAATGATCACGTGCGAGCCCCTGGACTCCCCACATATTGTTGCTTGGAACAAATGCGAGTCGCGGTCGCATGTCCGTCGTGAAATTTTAGCTAAAATCACTCCAAAACAGGAAATTTGCTCGGCCCGGGACCGAAACGACCATTTCCAGACATAGTACATTCTCCTGTCAGTCAACATGAGGGAGCAATTTGGTTCCATGGACCGCTAAAGGCCTGTGGATTTGATCATATGCAAACAAGCACGGGTAGGCCATTCGATCGAACACGAACCTCATATGTTCGTTATTTTATGCTCTGTAGTGCCCGGCCGTACCTCTTGAATAGGGGGCTTTTTTCCCCCCTTGTTGAAAAAAAATATTCAAAGAAGTTTAGAGGATCCAGGGTTGGAGAGAAGCCTTACGAGTATCTTTCCGGAAGCTGAACTTGGCTCTCTGTAATTCTATATTTGTCTGGTTTGTGAAGAATGGTCTATTTCCGAGAATATTTTGTCTATAGTAAGCTTATGGTTTTAATGAAACTTATTTTATTTACAGGGTCAGTGAAGTTATTGCCAAACCCTACAACACAAGTTTATTAATCTGTTTATCGTGTTAAACTATGGACGATGGGACTTCAAAATGTCTTTTGGATGTAATAAGGTCAGAAAATTATTAGAAACTGTTTTTGGTAGGCTGCTGCAGAGAATGAGCTGACAAAGTATTATGTTTTCTTCTCTGTTAGCTTAAATGTAGTCATTAAAGGCTCCAAAAATAAAGAAAGTGAAATGGTTTTAATTAAGGGAAACCTATTTGAATTGATATCGTATTTACTTTTCTACACAGTGACCCGAATGCATTGCAGGAATTTCTCCGCAGTAATAGTCAGGTGCGTATTTGTCTTCGATTATTTTTCAATTTCCGACATGTGTACATCACAAGATATGACTGATCAAACTACCTCTCTGAGAAGATGTCCTCTTTCGAGGTTGTAGGTTATCAAATTGCACTGTGCACATGGATTTAACCATACCACTCTGCTTCACATCTTAGCATGTTAATATACTTTCTTTGTCACAAAAGTATAAATGTATAAAGGCTTTTGGTGAGCAGTGAGGACCACAGGCTCTTAGGGTATTGAATCCCAAATAATCGACAAACAGCAGCAACATTACTAGCTGATGACCTACATGCCTCTTTTAAGAAACAGATAGTTAATATATATATATTCAGTAAATTTTACTGAAGTTTAGTTTTCAGGATTTAGGGTCTGTATACTGTGAGATGAGCCAGCCTGGTTAGCAGCTATGCCTTGTTTCCTTATAAAATTATTGTTGCGTTTATATAAGAAGGCAGGCAGATCTTGCTTTGAGCAACTATAATCTCGGCAAGCAGGCCAGCTACCTTATGTAAACAGGCCCTAGTTGAAAACTGCCTCAACATGATATCACAGAGCACAGCAAAAATGATCTCTGATTTCATGGAGTTTGTGACATGACCCGTCGAGGGACCTGTTAGGCTTGATTTTGGGTGCTCTCTCACTCCTCCCCGAGAAGAGAAGGCTGGACTCATGAGTGGCCTATCATCTCTGTGATGTAAATTCAAAATTTAACTTATGCATCATTATCAGGGTTTGCAAATTTTATTGATGAGTGGAGTCAGTGTGACTTCTGCTTCACAAATTTTGGAGTCATTTTGGAATATTTGGAGTCAAGTATCACAATGAAAAAAGCCATTTTCAGACTTGGCATGTATACACTATCGTGAGGGATACACGAAGTAGCCGTGGCGGTCCGCTGACCTGGAAAGCTCAAATCCATGATGGCGGTCATCGAGTTAACCTTGATCGTAATTTACCCTCTTCCTGTTTTGTCGTGCAGTATAATTCTTTAATTTCGATGATTTAATTAAGGTTTACAACGTTTACAATTACCGTGAATTGTATTTGTTGTGAAAAAGGTAAGGACAAAACTGTGCTTGTTACCGAAAATTTCTGGAGTCGAAGTGACTCCCTCCGTAACCTCCGTGAAGTCATCTGAACAATTTTGGCGTAAAATACGCCAAATTTGGCGTATTTGCGAACCCTGATTATGAAACACCTGAAACAGAAAATGTCATCAGACACTGAACACCTGTTTTCGTTTTCGCCTCTTTATCGCCTTGGTCTTCACCATTAAGCTCACCAGCAACACCTACTGATTTAAGGTATTGCCATTGAGTTAAGTTAGGGGTGAAATAAAACTGTTTGAGTGAAATTACAGCAGAAATGGATGTGAAAGTCGTCTCTATCACAATGGCTGTCAATGACCATCGGTGCAGACTGAAAAATAATAATTGACAATCCAGATCTGGCTGGCTGAATTGCAAAAACATTCTGACCATTTTATAACCAGCGTTTCTGTACAGTCTCTAGTTAGCACTCTATGTTGTTAATATTTTAGTTTTTTAAAGCTCAAAACACACCAAAACTCCACTGCATGCCACATTAAAGAATGCCTTCATGTTGGCCATTTGAAATCTGTTCCAGGACAGAAAATTCATGCGGCCTGCTTGATTTGAGCAGGCAGTAGTCTGATTAATGGAAGTTAACTATAGCAAACCGACCTGTCGAGCCGTGTATTCGAGGAAAGAGCGCAGGCTCATTTTCCGAACAGCGGCTGGTATTTAAACCTAGGGTTTTGTCTTGCACAAACAAGATTATCACAGTTATAAGAAGATGAAGAAGATTAAAGAGATCATATACGTGCCAACTCTTTTGCATCTAATACAAGAAGTTTCGTCTTGTCATTCCCGGGATTTCCAAAAATGTCTCAGCGAAACTTCCATTGCTGATTTAAAGGTTGCTGAAAATGTCTGAAGATGTCCTAACCACCTTTGAGTATGTCAGAAGCTATTTAAAAGCAACTATTGTGGTGTGTTGTCGTAGAGTTAGGACACAAAGTCAACATTAAGTGCATTTTTGGAATATTTTTGGGAAATTGAATTGAATTTTCATTATTATTCCTGAGTTAAAGAAAAATTGCCTGGAGTTGTGAGTGAGTCAGGCGTGAAAAATTATTCTTGATGTATGAGGTCAATGCCTTGAGTCCACAGGCATGAGACCCACTCAAAATGCATAAGAGTTGGTAGGTATAAGATCTTGGTGTATAGAAGTGAGCATAGGGATTGATGATTTATTCCATTTTTATCCTGAACAATCTGGTTTCTACTAGATTTTTGGTAGACCCTGTAGTCAGATATGCTCTGATTCTGTTGAGCTTATGACGATGGTTATGACTTTGATTTTGTCTTTTGGTCATAAGCACTTTACAGCTCTGCTTATTTACCTGCCAACTCTCAAGCATTGTATGCTTTATGGTTTCCTAGTAGTTTACTACTTATTACAACTGTTTAAGTTTGACGGCAAGATTTGACTATGAGTTTTTATAGCCATTGAAGCAATTTTGCTTTAAAAGGCACAAAAGTTTGCTTACAATTTTTACAACTTAAAGTCATTAAAACACCACCCTAAAGAATTGATTTCACTGGTGGTAGAGTCTGAGTCATAAGAGTCAAATCCTTGAGATTTTTTCTTATCATGACCTGGATTTCAAAAAATGTCCCAGCAACTTTTGAAGATTTCTGACTATTTTCCAAAGACTTTTGAATGTAATTGAAAATGTCTGAAGATGGTCTAGTGAGCTATTTAAAAGGCCGCAATTTTAGCGTGTTGTGATAAATTTGGAACTCAAAGTCAATATTTAGCACTATTTTGGAATATTTTAGGGGAAATTAAATTAATTTTTTATAATTAATGATTTGTTAAGAACCATTTCATCTGGAATTATGAGTCAGGTGTGAGAGATTGTTGGTGATGTGTGAGATTGATGTCCTTGGTCCGCAGGCTTGAGACTCATTGATTTTGTTAATAAAGATATGACTTTTTGCCCTTCTTCATTCATTTGAAACACACATCCAGTTATAAATGTCTGAAATTATATAATCAGAAGGAGTCGTACAGGGGATTTGTAGTAGATATAATTTTTGTGTGCTGCTCCTGCTCTTTATTCTTTAATGGTTTTAGCTGCAAATCCTGTATTTCTAATTCCTTTACAGTGAAAATTGTATTATACAGACCTCACGTTAAGCTGACACCCTTTATCCAGCAAACATGAGCTCAGGAAGTCTGACATTTTTTCTTGCCTTATTGTTTGAATAAAAAAGCCTCTGTTCAACACCACCTCTTTTGAGTGCAAAATAGGAAGGGTCCTTTGGGTTTCCCTCTTTTGCCAAACTCAGAAACTGGTCGTACTTGAAATATGTCAGGAATGTTTATTGTGTTGAGACCAATCTTAACAATGATTAGGCCATGCAAAGAAGCCACTAAACTGCAAACTAATTTCTGTTGTTTCCTGTTGTTTAGTCGTCTCACATGTAATTGGCTACTTCCTTACAACACCATAGCATTCCAGAAATATTTTTGGTGTTCCTGGCATTTCAAAATTCATAATTAAAATAATAAAGAATTCAGTGTATTACTTTTTGTGACTTTTGATTGCATCTTCTAAGAGTGTCTTTTTGAATTCTAATCTTTGTTATTCTTTTATTGATAGGATAATGGATCACACTCAAAGAATTCTTCATCAGATGCTGTTTCAATGCCAGGTTTTGGAAATCACTTGTTAAACACAAGTAGCATTGTGGGTGCATTGCCTGCAAATGCAAGAACGTTTCCTGTAGGTTCCTCAGCATCAGTGAATAACATTCAGCCATCAGCTGCTGCTCAAAATACATTTGTGAATGCTGTAGTTCACAATAATAGTGTTGGTGTTGTTCCTTCGTCTGTTCCTTTGTCTAGTGGAGGAAATTTTTTGAAACCTCATTCTGTAGAAAATACAGGAACCAAAGTTGGGAGTGCTGTGCTGTCTGTTGCACCTGGCAGTATAGCAGTTTCGAAGCCTGTGGTTTCTTCTACTGCAGCTCTATTTCAAGGGAAGAAACCCATTCCCATTCAGCCTAAAACTCCAAATGCGTCTTCAGCTGTAACAGGATCAACTATTGGGTCACCAGGAAACCGTGGAAGACAGGTTTTAAATTCCGGAGTTCCACTTGTGGCGCAAAAACAGTCTGTTACCGGACAACAGAGTGTTTCTCCTCTTGGGCAGCATGTGGCATTAAATGGAATTGATTCTAAAGGAAATATGAAAACTAATGCTGTTGGTGGAAATTTCCATAGCATAAAATCATTGTCTCCAAATACCTCACAACAAATTCTTTCATCAACCACTCCTGTTAAAAGGATTGCTCCGAAACAGCCAAACATTTTGCCTCAACAAACTGGTTTGTCTCCTTCGCATATGGTTGGTACAAAGCAGAAGATAGTTCTCCAACAAGTGTCAAATCAGAATACCCCACAAGTACAAGCAATAATCAACCAAGTGCCCCCAGGAACTGTCCAAAAACAAAACCACTCACAGCTAATTCAAGCACAACAGCTTTTAAATTTAATTAGAGGCCAGACTCCAACCACTCATGCTACTCAGCTTATTCAGTCGCAGTCTTTGCCAGCCAATCAAATTAAGCAAATTCAGCAGTTAGTTCAGCAGAAACTTTCTAACCAGCAACAACAACCACAGATTGCACAAACTGTTCAGCAAAAGGTGTTGACTCCGGCACAACTTCAGGCTGCTCTAAAACAAAACCAAGTAGTAACTACACAAACTGTACAAGCCTCTCAACCACAGAATATTGTAGTCCAGGAGGAAGTTATTAAACAGCTGCTTCAGCAAGTGTCACAACAAAAATCTGCACAGAATCTTGTCCAACAGCAACCTCAATTGTTTCAGCACGTTCAGCAGTCTGGTCAAAAACAGATTTTGGTTCAGAATGTTCCAACACAATCTACTGCCCAAGGACAGCAAAACACACAGTTAAAAGTTAATGTCAGCCCACAAGTAAGGCATTCGAATCTGCAGCAGAGGACAGAAGTAACTGCTGCATCACCTGTTAATATACAGTTACAGCAAGTATTGAATACTCAGCAGAAGCAAGTAGGGCAAGTTCTTGGACAGCAGCAGGGTAACTTGTTAACCCATCAAAACCTTGTGATTACAAAGGACCAGGGTGGGCGTCTGCTCCAAGGAGTGACGTTTGTACAAAATCAGCCTAACAAAGTTTCTACAGCACAAGTGTTAAATCACGGGGTTGTTATCCAGCAAGCCAAGCCTGTACTTCAACAGGCCAAACCTGGTGTGACTCCCATGGTCCAAATAGCAGCTACAACACAACCCAACACTGTTTCCCAAACAAAGGCACAGCCAGCACATAATACAGGAGTTCAGAAGGTGTTTATTATAAAACAGCCGGAGCTTTTGCAGAAGTTGGGATTGCAGGGAACAAAGTCACACCAAACTATTCAAATTACTCCTCAACAACTCCAGGCATTGAAACAGTTTCAATTACAACAGCAAGCTGCAAAGCAGAAACTTGCCTCAAACAATCTTCAAACAGGTAGCAATATTCAGCCAAAAGGACTGACACCTGAACAGTTGAAACAACTGCAATTGCAACAGCAGCTTCAAGGATCAGCGGTGAAACAAGTAGTTGTGCAAAATCAGCAACATTCTTTACAATCACAAAGACAAGCTAGCTTGAAGACACAGGGTAAAATGCAACATATTCCTAGAATTCTTCAAACATCAGGTCGACAACCTGTCTCACAGGTAACAGTGTTTACACCATGACCGTTTTTGTAATTAGGCCCTTTTTCAGATGCCTAACTTTTCGTGAGCTTAACCTCATATGTTTTGTTAAGTACATGAAAAGTTCATCGTCTTAATCAATGTGTAGTTCCAGAAAATATCCAGACCCCCACCATGGAGGGAATTTCACTTAGGACCCCCCCACCTCCCTGGATTTTCCATTTTTGCAGGGAACTGATGACCCCCCCACCCCTTCGGAATTTCCACAAGTGTGACAAAGACTCCCCAACCCCTCTGGAAAAGTTCATTTTCACGCAGAAAGACTATTAACTTAATCAGGGCAAGCTTACGATTTGTTATTCGTCTCATGGGCGTAATGTTGATAGAATTAACGCCATTTCGTGCGGGAATGCAGAACAAGTCAAACTTACGACCACAAAATTAATGCAAAACAAAGAGGAGAATAAAAGCTCTGAATTCTGAAATGATAACAATGAATACCCCCTGCATCTTGAAGGTACTTGAAGGGAAATCAAGTTCAATTTACTGTATTTCGATCGACTGATGCGACGTGATGCGCGATGGCCGTATAAATGTTTGGTGAAATCGACACCATTTCAGCGAGAATTCGATCATGAACATGCGACACGTTCAACCACAAAATTAAGGGAAAATGAAAAGGAGAATAAAAACTCAACATTCTTAAATCGTTACAATGCATAGCTTGTGCTTTGTGAAGCAAAATTGCCACTCTTCTGATCTATCAATTGACTGACGCAACGTGATGTGTTGCGTGATGTGTTGCACGCTTTGATGTTTTGAGGAAGACTGGTAACGAGTAATGGCGGCCGAATATACGAGCATGCGATAAAACGAGTTGTAGTCGGTCTAATTCCTTTGAAATTACATCCAAAACGCTTTTGGAAGAAAGTAAACCTGGTTAAGATCAAAAGGAACAATCTTAAGTCATATATTTCAAGTTATTTATGTCCTAAAAATGATCTACCAGGTCGGTAAGAAGCAATGTTTGAACTCGGGTCGAAAACGAAATGATATTGCCCCCCAGGAAAGTGATTTTATGGTCCAACCCCCCTCCTTTCGGGAATTTCCTGGGCCTCTGACCCTCCCCACCCCCCTGGAATTTCCAATTCCCTCCGTGGTGGGGGTCTGGATATTTTCTGGAACTACACAATGAGGAATGCCTATTTCAATTTGGAATGGCACAGTTGTACTCTGGCTGGGAATTTCAACATTGGAGCGAGTTTGGAACAGCTTTGATTTACATGCTGAACTTTTCATGTGCTCAACCTTATGCATAAATTAAGTATTTTGCAAGCAGTTTAATTCAGAGAGCATTTCTCTCTTTTTGTATTTAGTTTGGCTAGAATTAAGATCATCATCCGAATCAATTGAGCCAGTCAAAATAATTTTTGTTGGCCTTAATTTGAATTAGGTTTGCCTCATGCAAAATTAGGAGTCTGAAATGGGCCTTAGACACACTAGAACTGTTTATTACAATGTATAATCAGTAGGCAGGGAACCAAGTGGTGAATCTGCAAGAAGCTGTGGAGGGTAGAGGGAAATTTAAAATTCCGATGCCAGTAATGCCATATTCATGTGTTTCAGAGGTATATTTTCAATTTCACTTTTTCCATGATTACTGGTATTTCCTTTTCAGTCTAGACTTCTGGTGCTCTTTTGGTCTGATATTACTTTGAAAGTAGCTGTGGGTAATGCTGTTAGTAGTCGAGGGGTGATCCCTGGTGCCTGGACCTTAGTGACGGCCCTGCACAAGCCCCTCTTCCACATTAGCCCAGCTGGGATTAAAAGCAAGAGTTGTAATTAATTTTGTAACGCTACAGCTCGCAAAGGCCTGCACACTTTCTTTACATGGATTCTTAATTGAAAAATGGGCCAGTTTTATCTTTATTGGAAACTACCTGGTCGTTGTCAGTTATTTATTTGCTTATTGTTAATTTCTTAGAGTGTGAAGGTTTCAGTTCCAATCAAACAGGAGACAAGTAAAGGAGTGAAGCGTCCACACTCATCAGATGCTCCAGAACAACCAAAAGCTGCCACTAGGTTAGTTTCATTTTGCTATCTTTGGCAAAGAAGAAAAAGAAGAGAAAGTCAAAAAAGGATGATATTCAATAAGCAACAACAAGGGCTCTGCATTTGTGTCACACTTTTTGGTACATTTCTTTGTGGCCATGGCATAAGTACAATTTGAAACTTCTAGAATTTTTTCTTGTGAAATTTTGTTGAGAATTTGAATATGGGATTCTTCTACAAGTGATTAAAAGAGAAATACAGGTAATTCCTGGACAATATTGTATTCCCATTTTTATCAGTTGCAGTTTTATCACATGCAACTAAACTTTCGTTGATATAACAAACTCACAGAATTAAGAGTTACATGAATTTGAAAAGGTTGACATTGAGTCATCATGACATCATTCAATATTACTATCTGCTGTTGCACTGACAGTAAGGAACAAAAACTGGATTATGTGGTGAGTGTGAAAACTGATACCCTAAAAAGTGCGTTGTGCCTAGGTCCATTCAGGGCGAGAGAAATTAATTTCTTTCCTCTTTCACAAACTCAGCCAGCAAGAAAAACATTCACTATTGCGGTATTTTATGCTCAGTTGTTTTGCTAAAACCTCTGTTGGCGTAACTGCTATAAAATTTGAAAGAAAGCAAGGTTATAAGTGAAGTTTATGCTCTGTCACTGTTTTTTTTTTCCAGTAAGTTCCCTATTGTTACTAGAGTCATTAATGACCTTTAGATTTAACTACAAGTATGACTGGAATTTTTAGCTGATTGTAACCCCAGAATGATAACTCTTTCCTGTTACTGAGTAGCACATAAGTAAATATCTGAACATTGAGGAAAGGATTAGTGTGATATTTGATAATATTTTATGAGTTACTTGAATTTTGAGGGTTTTTGTGGCTACTACTTGTAGTAGTAGTAGGTGCTATGCTGGCACTTTGTATGAGTGAGTGTAAATAATCCTAACCTTCGGAAAGTGCTTGGGCTTTTGACGACACTGCCAACACCGATGCTTGTTGTTATTGTCGACTTTCATGGAGAGTGAACAGAAAATGTCCTTCGAGACGCTTTTTTTTCCGTTTTGGGAATGAACCATAAATGTCTTACGAGACACAAATGAGTTCAACATTGATTCCCTAATGGGAATGGAAAATTGTCTGCTGTGTTTCGAAAGTCATATCTTTCGCAGTCGGGAGTTATCATCAACGCGAAGGTGAGTGATTGACAGCGATGGTGTTGTGCGCCTTGTTGAAATATCATTGGTTGTAAGAGTAGTTTTACTTGCCATATCCTTTTTGTGTTTTGCCTTCTGTCTTGTTGGGTGCAATCCAAGGTGAGATCTCTCTCTGTCTGATAATGATTATGTGCTATTTGGCACCTGCAGCTAGGTACAGCTCTCAATTTACATTTCAAGTGTTTTTCCCCAAAGCAGTTTTTGGCTTCACTCAAGCTTTGCAGAGATTTTTGCCGAACTGAAGGGGTTGTTGCCACATTTGATGGTTGAGTTATCTGTACAGCAACTCAGAAACACCAACAGCTTCATCAGTGCCATGTGGTGGATACTGTCTTTTGGCACCCAAATAATTACCTTACGGGAACAGAAAATGTCCTTCTGGACACACTTTTTTCCCTTTTGGGAACGAAAAATGTCTTTTGAGACACAAAGAACTAGCACATTCACATTGACTCACACAGGATAACTTTCTTTAGCGAAATTGTTATTTATTGTTGTGCTACACACTGTTATGGCTCAAAAGGCATTGTTTAGGAATTGTCCAGTCCATTGACCTTTTAAATATGATGCAACTCGTGCAATTTTGAGTAGATTCAAATAGGACACCTATTCTTCGTTGTGGTTGTTTACAATATTATCTTAATGTTCAAAAGGCATAATTTCACAGATCAGCTAGTCTCTTGAATCTGCACCTCATATTCATTCGGAGGCAGATTCCATTGCGATACCTTTTGTTAAAAAAGCTTCATTGTTTGCTGTTGTTTTAGACCTTTATGATTTAAAATGAATATTCAGGAATTTTTATCCGTCATTCGATCTTAACTATCATTTACTTTATGATATTTTCAATGTCTGTTATCCTGAGGGCTTGTACATGTTATTGGTCAGTTAATAAAAGGAATGCAGCCTGCCCAATATTCATTCTACTTTGCAGTAGTAACCACATGTAGTCATCGACTGCCTATTCTTAAACTTGTATTTGTTCTCAATCTTGTTTTTGCAGCTTAATCTACAAGTATGAGATTAAGTACATGTGCAAGTTTTCAAACCAACTTCACGTGCCTCATGTTACTTCTTATCTCTTCAGTCTTATTCCTAACATAATTATGCTGTAGTCATCAACGGGGAAGTTTTATGGGATGTAGTAAGCTCAAAATTCCAAAGTGGTACTCGTAGTACTTGATTTCAGACTCATAGTTAAACCAAAGGGTCATTACTGTCAATTCAAGTTGTCTGTTCTTTCATTTGAAACCTAGAGCATCTCTATCATTCTAAACATCAATTTTTACTTTTTAAGATTAAAACAAGGACTTACACAAGACCAACAGGCTGTTCTCCGCCCTGATTTCAAAACACCATTCACTTCTCATGAAGATGTTGTTAAAAGGCTCACACCTTACCATGTTTGCTATGACCCAAGCCCAACTCCAGAAGACATTCAAAAAGGTAAGTGCCTTACATTCTCATTCTCCTTACTGTCATTTAGGATGTTGGAAACAAGCCTTGAATTCCAGCTTGTCACATTTTGCTAGCCTATGGTCAGATGACTTCCCTGGCCCTTGCCCATTGGGCAAGGTTACTTGCTTAGCAGGAACATCTAGTTGTCCTGGACAACTGGACAGGACTTCATTGAGCCCTAGTAGGGCACTTTATCCCACAGTTGAACCCTTACTAGCAATTACCTCTTTTCAACGGCTGTCTCTCTACAATGGACACCTTTTTCTGTCCTAGTCCAGACACCTTTTAATCTGTTCATAATGGCAGTGGTCTCTGATAGACCAGTTTTCAAATTTATACAGATCTATTTAGGTTTATGGGGAAACTGCCCGCCTACCCCTCCCCTAAGCTAAAATTTTGCCCTAGATAAAAAGTGTAAGTATTAATGGTAGCTTAAGGGAGGGGTAGGTGGGCAGTTTCCCAGAAACCTAAATTGATCTATTTATACTTGGCTCTGAGGAAGAGGGGTTTAAAACAAAAGAAATGGCATTGAGATTCAGAGATAAATAATTCATTTCTTTGTTTTATTCCCCTCAGCCTCAGAGTAAAGTATGAATTTTGATAATTTGAAACTGGCCTATTTGCATTCCATTTGCTAGAATAACCTAAGTAACTTACTAGTTTTTTGTTTTGGTCTCAAACATAAGGGCTATAATCTGAGACAGAAACTTGTGTAACCCCTAACCTAATTATCTGTTCTGCCTGGTTGATTTAAGAATCCCTGTATACATTCTGACTAGAGACCCATACTGCATGAATATAAATTCAGGAGTCCCCATAGTTAATACGGTCAAACCTCCCATAAGCTACCCAAATCACCATGGAAGCAGGGGAAGCTAGGTTGGTGAGGTTACCTGCTTGTCGATATAATCTCTCATTTTAATTTGATCATGTTTACATGATATGTGGGGTGACCCTCCACATGTTACCTCACCTGTCTGGGGTCTCCCACCTCCATGTAAACAGGCCCTTAGTGGTCATTACAGGAGGTGGTCACTTTAGAGAATCAAATCACCAGGGTTCACTTGCTAGAAGAGGACCGAACATGTCTACATTTTGGGAGAGAATTCACTGCATGCAATTTCTAAGTTATGATGATAAGTGTAGTGTGTTGTTGTCACTGAAATACATGAAATTCTCTTAGTAGTAGTGAGTACACAATATGCATAGAGATCAAACAATGCACAAAGTAGTTGCATACATGAGGATAAAACAATGGAAAATTCTAAGGACATCATCCAAAAAAATGGTAGCAGTCTTTTAGGAGAGTTTGTTGTTTACAAGTGGTTGCAAATGGGAAAGTTTTTTTTCGTGTTTTGGATAGTTGGTCACTTATGGGAGGTGGTCGCACATGGGTGTTTGACTGTGCAGTTGACTCTCACTAACTCGAACCCTTGCTAACTCAAACCTTGCACTAACTCAAAGCAAAATCAATTTCCCCTGGATTACCTCCATATGTTTAATGTAATCTTACTAGACTGTTCACAGCCCTCTATTTTTCTGTAAGATTGTCGAGATTGAGCACTTTGTGTTATGGGCTGCCATCTTGCATGAGTGTCAAAACTGCTTAGGGGGCAGGGGCAGTTTGGGAGGAAGTGAGAAAAAAAAGAGGGACTGTAATAACATCACTGCAGCTCGTGTTCAGGTCGTATGACAGGAATTTCGCCCCTTTTAACATTCATTTATTAAGAAGCTCTGCCTCCGCATTTAGCATTGATTTCATGTATTTACAAATATTTCTTGTGTTTTCTCAATTATTACACTTTGTTTCCTGGGTTAATAAAAATCCTCATACATGACATGCCTAGGATGGACAATTGTTTTTTATACATCTCATAATGAGTTCAACCAACACTGCAAATGTAATAGAACACGTGTTAAACAGCAAAACCATCTTTAATTATCTATTTGTAACTAAATTTCCTATAACTAATGTGTCGAACGGATTCTTTGGCTTCGAGTGTGACATTCTTCAACGCAACGTCGAACGCAACTGATATAAATGATTTCGCAATAAACTAACTTTACTAAAACATGGACCACTGTTTCAAGTTTCTCACCTTTGAGATATTTCCCAGTTCATTTTTTCTGGCATGTCCTTGTATCAAATAAAATAATCGGGATTTCACAATAAACTAACCCTAAAAACACATGGACCACTGTTTATTAAACCCTGAATACCTTAATATAGAACAAAACCCGGTTATTTCACATTAGCACCTTTCTTGTCTTTGACTGGGTTTTGAGAAATTTGAGCTATTCCTGATGTGGTTTGAATCGAGGGTGTCGATCCACGTTGACAAAACCAGTTCAAAGTTCTGTCGATCCACGTTGCTGATTTGTGTCTGACAAATCAAGTTCTTTAATACCAAACAATTGCAGAACTGCTGAATAACTTTTTAACTCTATAGAAATATGTATCTCGCAATAACCTTCGCGAAACTCGGTTTGGTAACGGCACTCAAGTTAAGCCCTGTCGGTCGGGGTTACGAACTGGACGGGTGACCAACCGCGAATATCGTGCTAAAGGTCCATACGTTGTTCTTTCTTTTCTTCTTCTTCTTTTTTGCGTATTATGTAGTGTTATTGTTAACAGTGTATTGAAAAGCAGATTTAGCATTATTTCGCCGCCCGCATTTAGAAAAAGACANTTCTTTCTTTTCTTCTTCTTCTTTTTTGCGTATTATGTAGTGTTATTGTTAACAGTGTATTGAAAAGCAGATTTAGCATTATTTCGCCGCCCGCATTTAGAAAAAGACAAAAACAAAGAACAAATATGGCCTGGTGCAGTTCGCCTGGAAATTATTATTATTCGGGCCGTAATACGGAGCTGAAGCTTTGCAGACTTTGATCTATATATCTGCGGGGAAACCGGCAAACTAAGAAATCTGGGTTTTCGACATTGTAAAATGATCATAATTCCTTTGATTCCAATCTCCTGTTCCTCTGTCTGTTGTTGTCGGCGTTGCCTTCGCTGTGCTCATTGATGTTCTTTCTACTCCGCGGTTTCTTGTTGACGTCTTCTCCTTTGTTGTTCACGCTGAATTTGAAATCGGCGTTCTTGCTCGAGAGGAGTTTCGGTGGAAAATCTTCCTGGGCGAGGATTTGGAGCCACTTGTTGTGCTTGTGTGTGACACAATTCAGAGAATGCGACTGGTTGACAACCCAGTTTGCGCGGTTGCTGAGCCAGGCGCACATGCTGAAAATTAACCGGGACCACCGTGCGCACCTAGTTTCATCAAATCGGGAAAGTTTCACATCCTAACAGTAAGACGATACGATAATACTTCTTCTTTACGCGGGGGACATTAGGGTGCCTCCTCGGGTTCCGGCCTCTGGGCCAGAACACTGCGGGGGCAATTATGACAGCGTATGTTTTATAGAGACAACAACTTGTCAACGACTTGTCAGTGTCGGCAACTCAAACTAAACCTGTTGTCAACACAAATTAACATCTATTGTCTAATGACCAATCAAATGCCTGCGTTGCTGGTATAATGCGCTTCCGGAATGCGAGCTGCAGTGATGTTATTACAGTCCCTCTATTTTTCTCGCCCCCCTCCCCCTAGAGCTATAATCCCCGACGCCTGTCCCCTCGAAACATGGCCGCCCTTAACGGTAAGACATACTATATCTCGGTGATCTCATGAAAAATAGGGGACTGTGAACAGTCTATAACTTTACCCTCAGTTACAAACCCTCTATAACTCAAACCTCCTGTCAGTTCACTCAAACTATTTTTTATTTCCCTTCAGTTCATTTCTGTACAATTTTACCCCCAATAACTTTTAAGTGCTTGGCAAGTCCCAAAAAAGAAAGCAGTGAACTGCAGTCCAAAACGTTGAATTTATTTCAAAACATCTGTGTATTCTTCTTTGTCATTTGTCAATCCAATTCAGATGCAGTGTTAAGCCCTATACTGATTAATCAAGCATTGTTTCTTTAATTCCTTTTTCAAAATATCAATATATCTCTTTCTGTCTTTGAAGTGAAGTGTACATGATACTTGCATTCCTTCGCCATCCCATTTCCTCATTTCTGGTTACTTGCTTTGAACCCTCGAACTCTAGAAAACTTGAACTTTTTTCAAGTGTCCTTGAAGGTTTGAGTTATCGGATGTCAACTGTACTTTAAAACCAAATGAAACTTGAGTAAACTTGAAAATGATAAGAGGCTATCTAGTATGTTACATTCAAATATTATTAGTGGTGGTTTTTTCCTTCAGTCAGGGGCATGTGAATTTTTTAACCCTTTCCTCCTGACATTTTTATTTTGTTCCACTCTCAGCTGATGGTCTGTATAGTACTGTATCCACCCAACTTGTTAAACGCAGTCAAAAAATGATGGAGAAGTATCGACAACTACTGTTTGATGAGAGTATGGTGAGCATATTTGTTAAGGCTTATACAGCAGCATGCATATTTTCTTTGTCTTGTTTTAAACCATGTGAAATGGTTCTTATTGTGCAAGAATGATCACGAGGTTTTATTACTTAACAGTTAATGAATGAGGCTTAGTATCTTATGAAGAATTGTGGAGATCGAGGAGGGTATTCGGCCGATAACACCCTCCGAGATCTCCATAATTCTTCATATGATACGAAAGCCAAATTCAATAATTGTTTTATTATTCATTCAAAATAATTCTTTGTTTAAAAACATGTTAAGTTCATGTTTGATAGACTCATAGTTAGCAATTAATGAATGAGGCTTTCGTAGGATATGAAGAATTATACAGATCTCGGAGGGTGTTATCCACCGAGGCCAAAAAACACCCTCCTCAATGTGCTTAATTCTCCATATCCTACTCAGCCTCATTCATTAATTGCTTTATTATTCATTCAAAGTAATTCCTAGCTTAAAAACAGCTAAAACATGCTTATCTGCATTGATGTTAAGTTCATCTTCGATAGTGTACATTTAGGTTTGTCCAGCTCCGCAAATATTCTCCAAACAGCAGATGTCGCCCTCTGAGTTTTCTTCTTGCTGTTTTTGCTATGTTTTTAGCTATTATTTTGCCAAGTTCCAGCTGGAGTGCTTACTGTGAAGTGTCCACCATTTTTGTTTTCACAACCAAGAGAACTCAACCTCATCCCCAGGTCTTCTCGGTAACGGTGCCTTAACCTGTAGCAGGCTGCATTTTTTACGTCATTTTCTCATTAAACACAAAATTCTTCCAAATTTGGTCATCAGTAACTGTTTATGATGTATTGTGAGTGTGCTTTTAGCCAGTCAGAATTGGGGAAATATTTTGAATGAATAATAATGCACGTTTAGGGTTGTTCAGGCCATCTGATAGAGTGTGATAAAAAATCAGAAATTGTGCGATAAGATAGGACTATTATGTGGTAAATTATGTGATTTTTTCAGGGCTAATTTACATTGTTTTACCAGGTTTCAAACAAGTGAAATGTCCGCCATTTTTGTTTTCACAACCAAAAAAACTCAACCTCGTCCCCAGGTCTTCTTGGTTAATGGTGCATTAACCAGCAAGAAAGCTGCTTTTTTGACGTCATCGGTTGAGTAATTGCAAAATTCTTCCAAATTTAGTCATCGGTAGCTGGTTATGGTGAAATATGTGTGTGCTTTTAGCCAATCAGAATCGGGGAAATATTTTGAATGAATAATAATAATTTTTATTGACAAGACAGAGTACAGCCTTACATGCATGGTATTGAATAGCCTATCCTTGTACCTCTCACATGCATCTTTAGAAAAGGTTTTATGAACCATACCGGATGAAACTATTCTTCACAAACAAAGCACCTTTTCCATCAACTTTTGTGCAGGAAAATCGGAAAATCTGTGACACTCCACTCCTAAAAAGTTATTGTTACTTATTTGTACTGTATGGTTTAAAGCGGTTGAGTCTGGCCGTACATTTTATTGTTTCATTGTATTTTGTGGTATAGCGGGAGCACCCATCTGCTGAAATGGTCATGCTGTACAGAGTGTTTTTGACTAACGAACGTGCTGCATTAGCTCAAGAAAGGAAAATTGCAAAAGGTAAAGAATTAAATGAGTTTTCTTTCAGGTTCTGTTGGCAACATGAAACTTGAAGAGGTCTACTAAGTACCTTTGCGATCCTAACCTAGTCCACTCCTTTCTTTAGTATATTTTATTTACTCATGCTTATGCCATACCAGCTTATGTTACCCCTAGGTCACAGTGTTGGCTTGTGAGCCACTGACAGCTTTAATAATTATGAAATTTTCAAGGCAGCAAATTGTAAAAAAATAGCCCTCTCTTGGTCAAAGAACTGCTAGGAAACCTATATAAATGCAGTTGTCAGGTGAATTCCTAGTTGGTGACTCAACATACACTAGCCCTTGAATGCGTGAATGCGAAACTGGAAATACATCTGCATTTGCAGGCTAAATATATACTAGGGCTGTTGCCAAAGGTCGGTACACACTAGGCGACAAGTTGCAGCAACACGTGGCGGCAACAGATCACTCCATGTGTACAGGTCAGGCGACTGGTTGCAGCAACAAGGTCAGGTGACACGTCGCAGCATTAAATGCCCTCGTGTGTACTGGAGAATTTTTGTGAAAATCTTTGTCTCCGCAACAAAATTTTGTCGCTGCAACAAGTCGCAAAAAATCAAATCAGACTGAATCTGTGCGACTTGTTGCGGCAACAAAATTCTGTTGCACACATGAAGCGATTTGTCGCCGCAATATGTCGCTACAACATGTTGCTGCAACTTGTCGCCTAGTGTGTACCGACCTTAAGATTTCAAGTTGCCTAAACAAAGGTCAATCCAATGAATTTCTTTCAGTGTAATTTTCTACTATGGCTTTTCAAATTTGTAAGTCCTGCTTGTTCTTATGGTATTTACAGTTAATTAATGTCATTTATTCAGTAAAGGAACTGTGTTGCAAAATTTGTCAAACATTGGAAACTGCTTCCATATTGAGTGAAACATGAAAATAACTGCTTAAAGCATTTAAAGAAGGTATAAGTAACAATGCAAATACAAAACAACTCAAAGCTGTGATTTTGTCTGTGACAAGTAATTTTGTCCACCAACGTTAAGTTCCTTAGTGAATGTACTGTAAATCCTCTATTAAGCCCCCTGGGTGCTTATTTATTTCAAGCCCATTTGAGACGGGGGAATGGGGCTTATTTTAGTTTAGAAAAGACGATGGTATCAGTTCTCCATAAAGAACTAGAATACAAAGTGGAGAACAAAAAGGTTGGAGGTCATGCAACCGAGGATCAGAATCAAATCTGAACTTCCAGTTGGGAAATAAACCATCCCGGATCAGTCCATGCGAAGTTTTACAGTCATGGTTGATTTAAAATACAGTCTCTCATTTATTAGTGGAGAATAATTAGGGGAGGGGGCTTATTAAGGGCCTGATTACATGGAGGTGGGGGTAGGTGAGGTAACATGTGGCGGGTCACCCCACCTATCACGTAAACGTGATCAAAGGAGAGATTATATGGACAGGCGGGTTACCCCACGTAAGCGGGTCACCTCACCTAACTGGGGTCCCCCACCTCCATGTAATTAGGCCCTAACTTTCTTCCCCTGAAAGGGTGGGGCTTTTTCGAGGGGGCGGGGGGGAGGACTTCATAGAGGATTTACTGTATTAACAGAGTTAACTACACAGCCGTGACTTAACCCCTATGAAATGACAGTCATCCTTTTAAAGGATGATTCTAGGCACCTTTCTAATTTAAGGTTTAAGGTGTAGATAAATACGTCTTGGAACGATTTTTGATGAAGCCTTGTGCCATTTGTTTTTCAGAGAATCCAATGGAGATTGTGAATGCAGCCAAAAAGGAGAACACACCTAAAGAGACTTCAAATAGTGTTACAACAAGTGAAAGTAGCATGAAGGATTTATCATCTTCGGAACATTCGTCGCCTGTTGTAACGTCAACTACAGAAAATGATCTTGTTAGTAGTATGAAAAATACTGTTTCAGAGGCTTCGTCAAAAATATCTTCTCTTTTAAACATTAATTTATCACCACCAACAAAGAATTCACATACAAACTCTGCGACATCACTCAAGTCTGGTATATCCAAATCATCATTGCAACTCAATTCAAGACATTCACCACACACTGCTACCTCTACCGAAAACCACATATCTAGTTCATGTACGCAGGAAATTTCGACAAGCAATCAATCAACAGTTACAAAGCTCATGGATAATTCTAATGAAAACCATAGTCTTGCTGAGACGGCAGCTGGAGAAAGTCTTAGCGTTTGTGAAGATACCTCAGGTGATTTACTAATGGACACTGATGATGAGACAGAGAAAGAAGATGTCACTGCAACTTTGGCTTTGCTTAATTCAATGGCTTCTGAACTTGATGAGGTTCTGGATGTGGAGGGGACACTATAGAAATGAATAAATTATTTTTCTATATCCTGTTATTAATACGAACTCGCCGTCTCCACATTTTCCATAATGCACCTTATTTGCCCCCCCTAAATTTTGGACGAGTGTTGTTTTCATAATTAATACCCAGGAGAAATGACAAACAACGGTTATTCAAACTTGGGGGGGCGGGGAGTGGGCAAATAAGGTGCCTTATTGGAAACGTGGAAGTGGCATATGCACAACAAGATAGTTTGTTTTATCCTTCTCAGAATGAAGAATTAGGGTGAAGTTATGGGTAAGAAAATGAATTCAACCATTCACCACCAGTTAAACTCAACCAAAAGAAGGCATTTGTACTGTCTTTTTTTCGGGGATCATTTCCTGTGCGATTTTCCAAATTGATCCTTTGTAGTGATTTATAGCCAACATTGTAGGGCTTCTCTCGCCCGTTAGCGCTGGTCTCGTTTACACATGTAGCGAAACCTGGATACGTCTGCCACTGGTTATAATCTATTGGTAAACTTTGTCAGATAATCTCTCTTTGCTAACAAACTGGGGTTGAATAGGTCATTTCCTTGATTCCAATTCCCCCACTTTCAAAATGACGTTACGTGTAAAACCCTTTTAACTGAAAATGAGTTTCATTTGAATTTTTTCCTGTCAAAAGACTTTGCACTGGCCCCCGTTTTCAAAGAGGCTAAGACATGGGTCGCACTTGGGAAAAGCTTTCATCTTTGCCGGCTAAAAAACCACAAAAATTCGAAACCGCAACCGGAAAAGAAAACTTTTAGTCCAACCGAGGAGGGTCGCATTAGTGGGAGTTAATAGTTTTTGCTTTGACACATTGAGAACTTAAG